CATGTATATGAGGAATTCAGAAAGAGTTCAATACGCAGAAAGCATCCCCCTGTGCAAAAACCATGAGACTTGTTTTTTTTCTAAGAAGGCCCAGGCTTAGGGCTAGGCCTAAATGTTTCGGAATTTTCTTTGCTAAATAACACATTTTAGGGCTTTCTGACATGTCTGATAATACATTTGACGTGTTTGAACATGTTGTAGGGAAAGTTAATGTTGTCCGCGTCCGTCATTGTCTGTATCAACTACATGTATAATGTGTATATGGAACTCTTCCTGGAACAGTGGAATTCTTTCCATATAAACGTCAGGAAGCCTGCTGTAGTACAAATACAGTTAATAAATTGGAACTAGGCCTAATATTAGATTTTGGGGGCCAAACTAACATGAGTTGGCTAACGTTGCTGTTTTGCATGTTTTTAAATGTAAACGCCACTATCATCACAAATGTCCGCAAACATATCGTATCCTGGCCACTTCATCACCTCCAAATGCAACAGATTTTCACAACTAACAGAAGTGTAACATTATTTTACTGAGTCCTCACCTCTTCAGGTGTCTGATACTCTTCCATCCTGTCAACTTATTTGAAAAAATACCTGTCAAAACGCACGTTTTTTCAACACAATGTCGAAATTCCCCGTGTTTCACGTCTCGGTCGTTGGCAACAAGCAATGCATTGTGGGAATTTTTTTAAAGGATCGATTTGTACGTACCGCACGTACAGTACATGTGGGTGTACGTACTTACGTACGTGCCATGCAAGACTGCTACCGACGACTGTTTAGGGCTGTGCCTCCGAAAATAGTCGTCGTATAAACCTGGGACGGGTAACATTTTTCACAACCATTTTTCTAATATTTCAATGCAATATAAACCCCCCCCACAAGAAGCCTTCCTTCAAAGTGCAATTTATGTATAACCCATTTATCTATTTAAATCTATATTCTGGCTAAACATGTATCACATTGAAAGTTAGCAAGCTTCACTGAGAGAATGATGGAGAAATAAAAAACCAATTTTTGAGGCACGAAGACTCTTTTAATGAATTTCTCTTCAGAAGCGTGCAGTTTCAAACAAATATACGAATTCATGCAACAAAATATAAAAACCCACTTGATGAACTTCCATTTTAATGTGTTTGCAGGAGAATTACTTTTTCTCATACATGTAACAATAACAATTACATTCATCTGGACGGGTTTTTTCACATTTGGGGTCTTTGTTTAATCATGGTTTAATATACTTACAAGCTACGGGCTAACGTTGAAAATACACTGCAAAACGTCTTTGGAAAATTTGTAGAATAAAAATAGATCAGTGTAAAATTAGTCAATTCGGTAATAAAGTTGGGAAGTGAGTAAATCTACTTTGGGTGAAGTACTTTCGTTGGACAGTTTGATAAATAATTCTATGAAGCCACACACAAAAAGAGAAACACGAGTGAGAGAATTTCAGTTGCAAAGGAGCCAAATTTTACACAAATATTTAGAATATGAAAAGCATGCTTTTCAAAGTACACAAAGGAAGCAGAGCATGTGAAGTCTGACGCCAAATTTGAACTACAATTTTTTTTTGAATGCTAACAGGAAAAGGCATTCAAATGCACACTGGAAAAGTGTCTTTTTAAAACTTGTGGTAGTTTATAAATGCTTAATATTATAATGCTATTTAAGCAACTATTTTTAAGATACACAAAGAATATCAGTATTGTAAGAATGATCTCTCGGTGTTTAATTCAACCTTTCTTCCTGATAACTTTGTAAATGCCACCAAAATGTCTATGTAGACATGAAAAGAGAGTTAATTTCATAAATGAATACCAGAATTAGAGCTTCAGTTCACTGCAATTGTTAAATTTATTCACTTCTGGAGACCTCTCACCATTAACTGCATAACACAAATATATTTTACTTAAACCAGGTATTTACCGAACAACACAATGTGAAGCCACTTTTTTCACTCAATGGTATAAATGTTTACAAGGTTGCAATAAAACATGGTGATTTTTTTTATTTCAAAAATACATGTACTTATATTAACTGGACGGTTATCTGTCATTGCATACTTTTGCTCAATCCAACAATTCTTTACTTGAAGAATGAAGTACGAAGCAATTTTTAAGGGGAAAAGCCTTCCAACCAAATCATGAAATAATCTGCCTTTTATGCAGGAGGAAACAATTAAGGCACTTTGTATTAACGGAAATGTTGCCTTTTCCGGTGAGGAAAAAAAGTGCAACCAATAAAGAACAAGTACCACAAAGTGTGATGAATTGGAATGGAGTTTGTCAAGTTTCACAACCCTGAAAATTATCTTTCGAAATTCGTATTTCCAAACCTGCAAATTTATTGGAATAAAATCATTAATTTAACATCATTTGCTTTCCCTTTTCAATACAGTGAGGGTAAAACACTGAGCAAACACGTGCTATCTCTAAGACAGCAAATGCTCCAATTTCAAATATTTTATTTACACAACAGCAACCAATTTCAAAGCTCAACGGAGGTTGTTAAGAAAGAAAATGAGAAAAAAAATCACCAGCAAACACTCTTCCAAGAATGTGAAGTTTCTAGGGAATACTTATTGTCTTGGCAAAAGAAGAAGGAAAAAAAAAGAAAAGAAACCAAGCAAATCTGCCCTCTTTTACTTGGTGTCACAGAGCAAAGCCACGCCTCTCAAAATCCAGTGATCGGGGTGCTGGACGGTCTTCAGATACAATGGGAAGATGTAGGTGAGATCGGTACGCCTGGGCTTGCGGTAGACAGGGCACTCGTAAAGCCTGGGGTCCTTGGGTCCCACGGCATTGATGGCATAGATGTGTACCACCGGTAGAGGCGTAAAGAGGACTTTGGGTGGGGGTTCGATGAGTTTGCAGTTGCGACGGTCCCAGCCTGCCCCATCCAGGAACAGGCCATGAACGTAGACTCCTGTGGAAAGAACAGCAAGATGTGAGCGGGCTCTTATGATTTGAAAGGATTCATAAAGCTGCCGAACAAATTTGACAACCGCCAAAAATGCTTGATTAGCACAGACAGTTCTCCATGAATTCTGACTCAGTTTTGTTTATGCCTGATCGAAGTCAACCTCGTGGCAGTGAAGGAAGCCAAGTTGGATTGGAGTTTTAGAACACTACGTTAGGAAATGAAACAAAACAGAAGTTATCCAGTAGTTACCTTCGGGGGGCGGGCTGCTGATGTCTTCTTTCATGAACCTTGTCATGTCATTGTGGAGTACTACGCTGTCCAATGCCCAGCCCTTGTGAGCTCTGGTGATCTCCTGTCTCATAGCTGTCAAGAATCCCTGCAATCAGAGGATGCATTAATCTATGAGTGGTTTGGCAATAGAGAGTAACACTGTTCAAACAAGGTCCTTGGGACTTTACAAATTGTTACAGGTGCCATAATAACACAGGTACCTTGTATTATCAGTAATTGAAAAGATGCAAAACCAAAGACTTGGGACCTACAAACTGTCCTTGTTTTAGACAAGGCTGTGCTCTTCTTATCTGTGTTCAACTGCAAACAGATTCCACAGCGAAGAAAAGGAAACGCTGGGTGAACACTAAATAGCACTTGACAGATGTTTCACTGGTTCACAGGCAAATGGGCTACGAGAGATGAAGCCACTGGCTGGAGACTCCAATAGGCACTTGTGTAATAAGCAGCCATAGCCAAGTCAATTTGGACACATCCTTACCTGTGGATTGAAGAAGCCGGTCATCCAGAACACACTGGGACGACCCTCAAAGCACCAAGAGTGGAACTGGGCATTTCTCTCGATCAGATCGGTGAACCAGAAACCAAGAGTGGTGGACTCCCAAGAAATCTGCAGAGAGACAAGATGTCAAGTGAAGACTTGTCTTTTGAGAGGACAAATTACTCATGGCGTATTTCCATTACCAAGGCCACGACAACTCAACAGAGCTACTGCAACTTCAACAAGCTCAAGAGAACTTCAAAACAAGTTTTACTCTGGCTGCATAGTTTAAATATTATAAAAATAAAAGAAAAACAAGTTTACCTTCTTCCAGCTCTGAGGCACTCTGGCATCGTAGATGTTATCCAGTGCATCTCGGAGGTTCTCACTCATGATAATGGTGCCCTCAATGGCTAGTTTGAGGTCCATGAGGGTGATACGGACCGTGGAGATGACCCTTTGCATCCGGTCAATCTCCTGACGCAGGAAGATGTTGAGAGGGGCCAGGATGCCCATCTTCTGGAGGCGGGCTCTGACCTAAGATTGGAATCAATCAGAAACGTGATAAATTCATCGTGGTCCTGTGTGTTCTTGGTAACTTGGACAGGAACGAAGATGGAGACTGATGGGTAACTGGCAACGTGAATTGCTCAAGAATATCAGCAACATGACTTTTTGGTTCACTTTGAGAGTAACATTTTCAAATAGTGCAAACTGTACCGAGGCAGACCACAAGAAAAAGAAAAACTGAATTGGTTACGTTCCACAGATCTCTTATTAAAAATCTCTGGACAAATCAAACTTTCCCAGTTTCAATGCTTCATTCTAACATTTAAAACTGCCGAGATACTTGACATTTTCTTCCCAATAATCCCTACCTCATGAGGCACATAATTTCCTGGCAGCTTCTCCAGCATTTCGTCTGCCTGTCGGTAGACGACAGATTCACGAGTCTCCCCTCCACCACCGCCACTATCCTTGGGCTGAATGTTGACAATCAGTTCCAACACCTGCTCAAAGTTGAAGAGTAAATATTTAACCATTTTCCAAAGTATACAAACAACATTCCTGAATGGAAATCATCCAAACTTGCAGAAAGGTTTCGAGAGGGTTACATCTCATAACCAGAGCTGGATTTAATTTCCATGGAAACTTGGAAGGTACAGCTTGATAAGGAAAGGAATCTCGAATGTTTCATTATACCTCAGTGGCCATGTTGGTTTGGTAGGTGATGTCAGCATTAGGATGCAAGCCAAAAGCCTCAGGTGAATCCACTAACGGCAGGTTCTCTATAGCGCTGCGGTATTCATCCACACTGCGACACTTTGGAATGGTGTAACCTGGAAGAAAAATGAGAAACATTGTGAACACCGTCACTGCAATGTGATTAAATACAAGCAAATAAATTGGGGATTTTCCAAAAATACTTGAGGTTTGTGCTTTTGATGGTTCTTGGAACTAACCTGTGTAGAACTTGAACTTTTCCAAGAACATGTCTTCTGAGAACCAGACTCTAGCATAGGTGTTCAGGAGGCGTTTGTCGTAATCGTCGGTCACACGGCCACCATACTGCACTTCACCCAACATGTACCGTACAGTGTTCCATGAAACACCCTGTAAGGCATAATTACGTGAAAGACTGAAAAACTGTACTACTGTGTCAGAGAAAATGGTTGATGAAATACGCTTGTGATGTTACTCCCATGGATTGGAGTTTTTAAATGACTATGAACCAGGCTATGGTGTATGATGAGCAATTGTGTGAAGTTGTTCCAAACTGACAACAGATCAAAGTAAACCAGACGCACATTGCAACAAACTACTGAGGCTCTCTTTCTAGGCAGACATCTTCTCTAAGACTTCTTAGTTCTAAGGAGACACAGACAAGCCCAGAGAGAGACACACACACACCAACCGACAAACAACCGACCTTCTTGGGGTCCAGGTCATCCAGGTGATTGTTGATGAACTGCACACTGGAGGTGAAGTCGGCCTGGTTGAACTCGTAAGGGATGTTCCAGCCCAGGGGTCCAAACTTACGCCTCTCCTGGACGGTGGTGTGCAGGAAGGCCACGGCATACAGTAGAGGCTTCCACTGCATCATGTTGGAGACTTCCAGTTGCTCCTGTAAGAGAAAAGAACAGTCAGGATTGTCTCAAAATATTTCACCATTTTAAACTTACCACCAAGCACCAAAACAGGCTACACAAGTTTAGTTTCAAAGGTTTTGTTTTTCAAATACAAATCTTTTCATCCGGGTCAGAAATTACTCTGCCAATACTCATCTCAGGATGGCTTTTTAATCTAGCTAGTCACATCTACAGGACAGCTATTTTAAACCTAGCTTGTGCTACCATTTAAAGGAATTAGAGTCACATTGGTAAATTTCCAGTTTCGCTACTCAGCGCCGTAGAATTACAGCCAGAGGATGGAGTGATTTTTAAAATTTGTCTACCTGAGTGATACCAGCATAGGTTCTCTTGAGGCCTGCTTTGATGCCCTGTGGAGGCTCGTTGGTGTACTTGATGGACACCTGCAGCAGGTTGATGGGGAACTTGGGATGTTCCTCCGTGGTGATCCAAAGACGGAAGGACTCATGAACATTCTCCCCTGACAGGATCTGAGGGAACACAGGAACGGAGTAAAAATGTAAAACTGACATCAGCGATAGATGAAGTTGATTAAGATATTCACAAATTGAAAATATGCCTTTCTTCTCCATCTTTCCTGGACTACTTCTTAACTTTAAAACTGAACTAGGATTATCCTCTTTGAGCAGAACCAAGACGGGGCAAAATTTTCCTTGCAATGGAGGCCCCTTTGGTGAGAACTGCACTTTGCTGACTTACAGACGAAGGAGTGCTCGTGTTACGGTCTTGTTGCTACCAACCAAACGAACACTTCCCACTGACCAAGGCTGATATTCTCTGTACTCAACTCACAGTGTCCAGCAGTTCGTCCAGGAATCCCAGGCCAAGATGGCAATTCTGGAGCAGGACCCATCCGCCTTCAGACATGAATGTGTTGAGCAGCTTACGGGCATGGACCTCCTGTCCCTGACCCATACTGATGGAACGACAACCTGAATAAAATCCCCAAAATATGATACACGGATAAAAACTCACAACCTCTCTAAGGGACTTCAGTCATCAGCTCTGTTACGGTTTGCCAATTTGAAAAGTCACTAACGTGAGGCTACATAAAGCTATAATGTACTGGTGCAGATCTCACCAGATTTTCTTTTTGAGGAGAACCCTGAAAGTTGAATTACAGGATTGTACCTACTTTGATGATAGTTTTTTTATTACCCATACGATGATTATGAAATAATTGAGCTGTTTCTTCTTCATCTCGTGGCTTCGAGTGGTGTCAAGGAAGAGCATGACATTTTACACTGAAACAAGGATCCCTTGGTGGGAGCTTGTCACGTGAGCGTGCAGGTTTACGTGCGTTTGGGCTGGGGTGTGGTGAGCACCTGCAACCAATTCATATTGGATTGTATGGTCCTTGGGTGTGGGCTAAAATCAGCAACTTGCAAGCAGCCTGTCTCCGCATTGTCAGTAGGGACGCACAGATCTGCACGTCAATGAACTTACGTATGTTCATCTTCTTAGCCAGTCCCTCGATGGAGGCGGTAGGATCTGATCCCATGGACAGGAAACAGGTCATGGGCGTCTTGGTGTCGCTTTCCTCCCACATCTTCTCCATGTTAAGGATCACACCTTCGGCAAACTACAATGGGAAGGGAAAAGTTGTCAGTAGGAAAACTAGGGAGTTGACAACTGCAGAAGTTGAAATGGAGGATTGTGTATCAACTTGCAGGTTAAAAAGGTTTTTTTGGGGGGGGGCTGGGAATGAATGAAGTAAATTGGACAGTTACGGAGATGATTAGTAAATCGTTGACACAAATATTGTCGCTTTTGTGGGTCAGCAAAATATAAAATGTGATGATTAAAATGAAATATTAAAAATGCTAATTCAAATAAAATTGGTGGAAATCTTTACTGGCCTGTAAACAATCAATGTTTCAACATTAAAATATATGAGCCAAGCTTTAGTTTCAAAGCCTGACCTACCTTGACGCCAATAGAATCAGCAATGTACTTCCTAGCCTGTGGGATGGTCCGATCGGGACACCAGGATCTGACCAACAGCAGCTTCCGGAAGACGTCCAGGGAGGAGGAGTAGCCGTCCGGTATGGTAGCCTCCTCGGGCGAGTCCTCGTCAAACCACTGTTTCCAGGCCTTGTCGTTGCGGGCCACCTGGCCCACAATCTGACTGAACTGGGGCAGCTTGCTCAGCTGGACCAGGTTGAGCCAGGTCATGTCCAGGATCCACTTCTTGGGCTTGGGCTCCACGGCATTCAGGTCCAAGGCGGCTCCACCTGGTGGAAAGACAGGCATCCGAGTACTTGTGAAATTGGTGTACCCGTCTCATTTTTATGACTTGAGAAAAGACTGAACTGGAACAACAATCCGTTTTCTGAGTAACAAACGTCAGGCCAGATATATCATTTTTAAAAGGCAATGTCCTAAATGTATGAATCCAGCCAAGGAATCATGGATACGTCCATAAGCAAGGTAATTTATAGCAACAAAATATTCCTCATTCACAGAGCAATGTCCATTTTGAATGAACAAAGTCCTACTTTTAAAATTTCCTTCAGATAAGTACAAATGCGACTACAAATAGGAAAACAAAAACTGTGTACAAGTTGGAAAATAATTTCAGGAATGGACCGGACATCGACCCACCTTTGATGAACGTCTGGAACTCATTGTGTTTGATCTTCCCTGATTGCATGTCAATCTTGAGAGCCAGAAGAATGGTGAAGAGGAACTTATGGTTCTCATACAGGCCTCTGGCTGTGTAGGTAAAGACCTCGTAGGTCATATACTCAATGATGTTGGCGATACGCTTGGAGGTGATTGGACTCTTCTGTGACCTGAAGATAAAAATACAGGGGACGAAAACAGTGTAGTCTGGATCATCTTGTTTTTAATCTTAAAGGTCTTCAGGAATTATGATCTGAATGGAGGACCGTGCAATAACAACTATCTCTATGCAGGACTCTTAGAACTCAGTCACTGACAAGACTTTGGATAAGGTCCTTCAATTATAATCCTCCTGTTGCTTCACTGACACTTACCTGGCCATTGAAATGTCAAATATACCCAAGAACTGCTTCAGCGAAGTCTGGTACATGACGTTCACCATGCTCATTTCAGTGATCAAGAAGTACAGCGTACTGCCTCGAGTAGCAACTAGAAAAAGTATGGACATACAGGAAATTAAGTAGAATAAAAGACTAGCAGGATTCTAACGACAAATTTTCCATTGCAAAGACGGAGTTGAACCAAATCATAAAGATGTTACCTGGCCTGAATTCCTCTCTGGCTGTATTGATCCTGATCTCAGTCTCAGCAGCAGTGGCGAGTTTCTCGCTCACATCCTCGGCGGTGATCTTGGTAACTCGCAGCACCTCAATCAGCGACTCATCCTCCACGAGGGAGCCCTCCGTGCTGGTCAGGCGGTACAGGAGGTTGTCCTCCAGCTCCTGCATCTTGCGCTTGTTGGCCGTCACCTCCTCCATCAGCTTGGTGCGCTCAGCTTCCAATTCCTGTTAATCATCAAAAGCATTTCAATAACTTCCTCCAAGTTTATTCTAACCCTCTTCCAGTTTATAATTTAGCTCTTCCCACTGAGAAAAGCTCCAAAAAGCATCTCTTTATTTACGCTTAGGGCTTTTTTGAAACTTCCCATACAAATTTGAAATTTATATGGATAAATCAAAGCATTACTTAACCAACTCACTCATTAACCAATCAATGAATTCCACACCTGTTTCTCAGTTAGGATGACAATACCCAGCAGCTGATCTTCCAACCCCTTCATGGTGACAGTGAAGTCGATGATGGAGGTGCGGGCGCTGATCTCGGGGGTGTAGGCCGGGTTGGCCAGCTTGGTAGTCATGTAGAGGCGGAACGCGTTCATGACGTCGCATTCCTTATCACCCACTTTCACCTGTTGGGGGCATGGACAGCATGGATTCAGTGACCGCATATTGACGATATGGGCTGAGCAGAATTCATCTTAATAGAGGTACAGCCAGCACATGCATTATTATACAAATTTATGAGAACGGACATTATGAAAATAAAATCCCACTCAAAATTGAAAGACAATACTTAAGCTAAAAGTATGTTCCCCACTCTTCAAACCTGTCTGAAAATCCAACCTTTTATTTTGTACCACCAACAGAATACAAAACTCCGTTGTTTGCAACCGACAAACACAGTGTGAAATATCTACGATCATCAAAGGTATTTCAGGGTTATCTTACATTGAGAGCTATCTGTCTCTCACCTTGTAAGTTGACCCCGACTTGATAAAGTTCTTCTCCAGGACATTGTCCAAGGCAGGATCCAGCTCCTCGCCGATATCTTCAATCAAGAGGGGGCGGCCTAGAGACAGACTGTCTTCAAGATGGGTTCGGAAGTACTTGTGATTAAGGGATGTCACCTGTCAAAATGATGATCAGAAGGATTCAGTATATGTCAAGGCATGTCCTGAAACATGTCTTAGACCATCGCGCTAGGTATCGTGGTACGACTACACTGACTGAACTGTAAACAGACCAAGAAATCTTGTACCTTGCTTCCAACTATGTAACCAAACCTGTTGGCCCAGTCATCCAACTGGTCAAGTGACTTAATTGGTCGAGTGGCTTAACTGATAACGTGACCCAACCTGTCAAGTGACCCAATTAAAGACTTCGCCAAATCTCTCCTCTGACCCACCTTGAGATGTAATCTGACCACATGGCCAAAAAAATCATGTGATATCATCTGTCACATAATCAGCCCAATCGCATCTCTATCCATTTTACCTGTAGCTCGTTGGCAGCTTCCTTGTTCTTAATCCACACCTTGCCCTGCCCCTGGGGATCAATCAGGAGCGGGTAGCGGGTGGCTTTGGTCACGATGATGCCGTTCTGGATGGACAGTTCGTCGTTGGGTAGGCCCTGGAGGTTCCATTCGCCAACTGTGGTGTTGTCCACCAGCATGCCAGTGATGTTGAGTTCCTGTAATGAGGGATAACTTGATTTTGCGACACAATGTTGTCAGGGATGAATGAACATAAACCAAGTGCATCTTGGAACCAAGACACCAAATTCTACATTGGTTAGTTTAAACACACTGAAGTATTTCTTATCTAAGGAATTTAAAAGACAAAATAAGCAATGGGATAATAAAATTACTTACTTTGTAGGACTTTTCAGGACCTGGAATTTTTAACATATATGCTCTTTTTCTTAAAACTCGCAGTGAGAAGCCTGGGATACTTACATCACTGTATGGAATTTTGTTGATCATCATTTCTTTCTTCCAGCTCTTGAGCAAGAGGTTGCGGAATTCTTGGTTGAAAGGACCGGAGTAGGACAGGAAGCCAGTTGCCAGGAGGACATCACCAACCAACCTAGTCACAGATCACAAACACAAACTCTGTGGTCTTCCTGAACTGTAAACAACTCACATGAGTCAAGTGATTGTGACGAGGGGATTGTTTCTCCAATTTACAAATTCTAATCTATAAAACTCTTCCCACTATGAAGTCCTTGTACATTTGCCAGGACCCATATTTCAACTTGGTTATATTTCTCAAGGCAACCCTCTCAACACTGGCCTAAAGGAAGTTACAAGCATAGACCATTGGACTTTCTGCAACTTGGTGTCATACCTTGTTCATAAATAAACCACTGCAAGAATGTCAGGCAAATCTCAAATCAATTTCCCAACTTCCCTTACCCCCCAAAAACCTACCTGTTGATCTGATCCTGGAAGCGTTTGCTGGCCTCTGTCCAGCGCACCTTCTCTCCACCCAGTCCTTCAATGAGCGCCGTGGCGTTGGTCATCTTCCTCCGACAGCTCTCAGCGTCATCCAGGAGTGCTTGCTTCTCAGCGATGGCCGCATCGTACATGGCCTGCACTACGTCTAGCTCTTTCTGTTTCTCATCCAGTTGGTCCTGGGCTTCCTTCAGGGAGACCATGGCCTTGTTGAGACGGGCTTCTTGAACGGCCAAGTTAGCCTGCACAAGGGGAAACATAACCGCAATGTGAATAACTTTCCAACATAAAAGAAGTAACCGAAAAGGGGGTTTGAACTGGGTCCTCTGGGATATTTTTCCAGTCCTCAAAAACGAACAAAACTGAGCTTTCAAGCTGCATATTGGTAGCTTCTGCTATATCGAAGTCTTGTCTGCAAATTGAATATTGACAAAACAACTAGGGCATCTACGAAAATAGTTGGGACTTGACCCAGCTTTTTTTACCTTCAGAGGCAAGACTTCCTTGTTGATACCAAAGAAAAAGGCCATGGCTACAGTCCAGGAGCAGAGCCCAGCGACATCACCACAGCTCTTCTTGGCTGACTCCAAGTTATAGTCATCCATCGTAAGGTAGGGCTGAAGTAACTCCACAGTCTCTCCGTTAATAGAATCCTGGAAAACCAACATCAAATGAAATTTTGAAGTAAGAGAAAAAATATGTTGGCATTTGTCACACAGGACTGATGCCAGGAGAAGATGGAGAGGTTGGCTGTGAGTTGCTGATTTCAGCTCACCTTGGAGAATGACAACAGATCCTTCAGGAAGGAGCTGCCGCCCATCAGCTTGAGGGCTTCGGACCAGGACGGCTTGGGGCTGGGCCTCTCCGGGTCCAAGGTGGTGGACTCCAGGTGGCGCTGGAAGAGCAGCAGCACGCAATCCATGATGCGCATGATGAGGTGAGGGGGCTTGGCCAGCTTGCGGACGGTGGCGATGTGGGCTGGCTTGATGGTGTTGAGGGCAGCTTCTGCTTCCTCCAGGGCCGGCTTGGCTGCCTCCAGTTTCTCCATGGCTTGGGCCTTGTCCACCTGTCAGTAACAAATACAGACACACGCTGACATAACTAAAGTAACATTTCTTGAGAGGAGGGGCCTAGGGAAATGAACAAGTAAATCTGACTGAGGTGGGCTGTTAACCTGTCAGCCAAGTAATTCATGACAAGTCCTTTTGTTAGCGAGGGCTAGAGAGGGTTCTACTACTCTTATTATAACACAAACTCAACCTACATTGATTTCATCCACAATGGCCTGGGCTTTGTCTTTGACCTTCTGGACCTGAGCCTTGACCTTCTCGGCAGCCGAAGCACTGACCGTCACCTCGGCCAGCACCTGGTCGGCCTTCTTGGAGGCCACAGCTAGTTCTTTTTCCTTGATTACCAGTTCCTTGCTCAGCTCGTTGACCGAGTGAGTGGCCTCTACCAGCTTAGCCAGACCTGAAGAGGGGAATATTCTAGTCAATTAGGAACCTCTCAAAAGATAAGTCCGGATTCTGTTGCGCAAGTTACCTACAAGTTGTATTTATCCAGTAGGTACAAGAATTGCTACTGTTTTCAAATCATGTTTGTTGGTCACCTTTGCAAACATTCACTCCAGGTAATTAAAAATTTATGAGAGAAACAGTGGATAGCCTGGTAGAATATAATGTTGAATACTAAATACTCTCAGAAAGCATGCATCTTTCACCTGAACAACACTGCAGAGTACCTCATATAAATGTTAGTAAGTGCAGTTCCAATCTAGTTGCTCAACACAAAGAGAAACACTGCTAGGAAGTACACATGACCTTGATCGGACATACTGTGGCATTTTTACAGGAAAGAACAGAAATTCTTTCATACTTCGGATATCTCAAACCTAAATTTGAAAATGAAACGGAGTCCCCCCCCCCCGAAAAAATGCAGAACTGGCAAAGTACCTGTCTTCATTCTCTGAGCCAGGACCCCGATAGCATCCAGCTTCTCGTTGTAGATAGACTTGTAGCCATCAATAAAGGACAGGTAAGACTTGGGGGTCACGTGGGCCTGGCGACGGTAGCGCTGGAAGTACTCCACCGTGGTCTCAGCAACCAAATCCTTGGGTGGACAACATTTTCTCATCAATTGCATTGAATCAATACAAGCCACTTACAATAATTTGTACAACAAATTCAGAGTAAAACAATGAAGTCTTCATATTTCATGGCTTTTGAACTGTCTTAGCTACCACTGCAAACCCAACACACACTGCAATGATCTTATAAAACAAAACATGACTGACTTAAAAAAAAGGTCAGATAAGTTTCAGAAAAATTCCAGTTTTGGCTTTGACACACAAATGCAATTACAGATACACTCAAAATACACTCAACAATCTCTCCTCTAAGTGTCAAACAACTATATTTATGGGGAATGATTTTTGACAAAGAGCTGATTTCTAAAAGGGAAAAACGTCAGCTAGGCCAAATTTCCATGCTTTTTATCCTACCTGGAAGCTTCCCATGGTGTTGACCACGCTGGCCTTGACCTGATCGGTGCACTCAATCTTGAAGGAGGAGAGAAAATGCTGTGAGACAGCAATCAGGGCATCCTTTGGCCAACGGCTGAACCAGTCCATGGTGCAGCCTGAGAACAAGCCGGGGAACTTCAGGGAACGATTGCGGAACTTCTCACCGACCTGTCATTGATACAACAAAAATATGGATTAAGTCTGATCAAGAGAATAGTACACCATGTCTAAATCCAGGGCTGGGGCTAAGAGAGACAGGTGTGTCTATAAGACGTACCAGCAGCCACTAGCTTATGGCTCCCTAATACACGTGTTACTACAAGCCACAGCCACAACTTTCAGACAAGGTCTAATTGCAATATTCGCTTGATGACCCTTACTGAACCTTCACAAAATCAATCACTGTACGGTACCCAATGACATGTTCTTCGCACATTCTCTACCAAGAAGCAAGCTCCAAATAAGTAACTACCTTCTCTGAATCCATCAACATAACACTCCAAATGGCACCAGTGGATTCTGAACAATCCCAAAGAGTTAAGGTAGAGACAGGTAAACCGACATTACAGGCATATGAATCAGTCCTTCCTGTGCCGAGCACGGGATGAAGAGGTCAAACAGCAAGAGAGACAAAGCGAACTTCTGGATGGAAAAAAGGGAGAAAGGCTTACAGGTGAGAAGCAGAGTACAACGTGTAGGTTGTGGCGCACACGGGTCAAGAAGTAATCATAGAGGTTCTCGTTGGTTGGTGGACGGCGTGGGAACTCCTTCTTCATGACGGCAATCAGTTCACCAGTGATCTCATCAATCTCATCACGTTGGAACAAGTTGGATACCTGATGAACAGTGAAAAAAAAATCACGATAGACAGGAAGGTCCAGACATCGGGCGCAAATGTACATCATCAGAGGGCATGTCGAATGCACTCTGCATTGAACACGGTGACAAAAATTTGCAAACCAAAAATCTTTCTGACACTTCTATAAAATTTCTCTAACTTTCGAGCTGGGTAGACTCTGCAGACCAATGACTTAGAAACAAGACGTGGGCTTTTAAATATCTGCTCTTCTTTCAAGTTGCACTCAAATTCAGAGTGGATCCAGCCAACAGCATCTCACCTCTCCCGAGGCCACTACGTTGTTCATGTACTCCAGGAACGCCTCGTCTTTGATCTCGTTATCAGTGAAGATGAAAGTGATGCCTTGACCCTGCTGGCCAGCCGTGCGGTACAGGTATTTAAGATCATCCATCAGGTTGCTTACATTGTAAGATCTGTATTAAATATCAAGTACAGCAGGTGTAAGGTTGATGTTTGAAGGGTGGTTCCCAAACGGGTGTGACTTCATGATATTTACAAATAAGTTTCAGGGTCATCACAGATGTCAATCTTCATCTTTGTTTAGAATGCTATACATTTGAGAGAATCATGAACAAGTCACAAGTTAAGCACACTCTCTAAAAACAATAACTAAGAAAACTTGAGGCTCTAAAGAAGATGAGCTTGCCAAAACTGAACAAGCCTTTTAATCGGGATGAGCCACTTACTTAGACAGAGTAATCTGGAATATCTTGTATCCAGCGATGAAGGAGGCCAAACGGGTCAAGCTCTGTTTGCCAGACCCGCCCACACCCACTAGGAGGGCGTTGCCTTGAGGGGTGCGAATGATACGAGAGATCTTGACCAGATGAACCATGGCATCCTGATGGGAGCAACAAGTAGGGACAGATAAGCTGGATGGTTGACTTAATATTGTTATTCACATGTCTCACTCTTTATAATACAGGTGCATTATCTTTACAACTGCTTAATTACAATGATGTTGGTTGAACCACATAGTGATGATTACAATAGTTCTGGCGCACCACAAAATAACATACTGTCCATGGACAGTGTACACATGCTACGATGGCCCGTGATATGGCAAATGTCCAAGACGGTCAAATCAAATGAGACTAAAACTTCTTCCAAGAGACCTCATGTGTGCATTATTTCTTTGGTAGAGCACTGGAATAGCAGTTCAGCAGTCTGGGGTTCATATCCAAAAGTTAATCGCTATTTTGAGAAGCCAACCTTGAAGAAGACGAGATCCATCTTGGCTCCACGGATGGTCTCATTGTACATGGCCATGAACGTGATGAGTCTGTTGCTGAGCTGGTCATAGTCCTCGATCGGTTCGTAGACCTTTGGGGCATCCAAGTCAGCGTCATCAGGCTCATCCCCTGGGGAAGAAAGGAGAAGCCAAGAACGTACCATTTATGTTTCTTTGGAAAAGATGAAAAGCACTTCCGGGAGTAGCGTCAGTTACAAAGTGTAACTAGTTTCAATTTGGAATTCTTATATCACTCCTGTGCAAATCTTGACACTGAGACTAGGATGAAGACTTAAGGGTCTTGGCCATACTTGATAACCATGTTTGGAAATTTGGGTTTCAGTTCATACCTGTGACTTCTGGCGCATCTCGCAGGAAATCCACGAAGTAAGGCTCTTTGGAAATCTGCTCTGCTAGAGCTGTGCCGAGATCTTCCTCTGCCAACTGCCGGAATAAAGAATCAATTTTATAATTACAAACATGCTGTCGAGCAGTGATAATTGACTCTGATAGGATTCGAACCTACCACTTCTGGGATACTGTGCTGATGCTGTGAGCATTGACGATCAGAATGGAATTGATGTGACTAAAAAAGGCAGATGTGTTTACCTTGGTGAGAGCCTTCTCAAACCAATCTTTGTCCTCAAGGTTGGTGAAGCGATCAGCGATGACGCGGTAGCACTCATGCTTCCAGAGATCCAGGAGGATGGCGGTTGAAGTCACCACTTCGTAGGTGGTATTCAGCATGCCCTGGGAGAATGACATAATATTGAATGCCGTTACAATCAAACAGGAAACTTATTATTGGCAAGCAGGCCTGGTTACCGGTTAACAGATCGTAAAAAGGACAAAATAAGCATTCTTTTCACTTACCTGCCAGATTCTACTCAGATCACGCAGGTTGAAGATGTAGTGGAACTTAGCTGGGGTTGGCAACATTTTGATCTTGATGCGCTGCCAGAGCTTGCGAGTGGATGAGACCAGGCTATTAGCCAACTCGCAGATCTCCTCTGAAAACCCACGCTCCTAGAGGCGAGGAACACGATGTAAATAAGCTTGAGAGTTGTGCCTGAAGTGATCTTATATGTCACTTTCAAATGAGCAATAAATGTCTTAATTCGGGTACTGTCTCACAGATCAGTGGCCTACCTTGCAGTAATGGCCGCATCCAATGGTCCTGAAGATCTTGTCGATGGAGTTGTTGGACGGCAGGGTGCAGTTGAAGATGTTGAACTGCCTCTTGAGACGTTGGGGGATGTCGTTACGGCCTCCGCCGGGCTGAATCATGGCCGCCATGAACTGGATGTCCACGATGTTGGTGAAGTCACCAGGCTTGTCCAGGTTGTAGAAGCCGCGGGTCTCCATCAGCTGACGCACAATCTCATTGGTAATCTATCCATTAGGGTGAAAAAAAATTACTTCAGTAGGATTTGAACCAACAACCACTGCAAAGCTACACCAGCACTCTACCACCTGAGCTTTCTCTCGTAAGTTGGCACTGTACATTCCAATCCAAATGCTAACCCCGTTGGAGGCCAATAAAAGTAACAACTTGAGCAACAAGATCTGGATGGTTCCTCGCTTAAACAAGTCAAAGAAGCGGACACAAAGTAATTACCTGATCACCCCATTCATTGATGATTGGCATGTTGATGTCATCAATGAAGATGGTCATCTTCTTTCCTGCTGGAGGTCCGTAGGTTGTACCAACACGCTTATCCACGTAACTCTCAATAGTCCGCTGTGATAAATAGCAATCACTTGTGAAACTCCAAAAAGCAATAGCAAGAACCACGTAGCTGAAAATTTATTTAATTCACATGCACAAATCTGTTTGTGATGCACAAATATAACTTGTTTTTCCCAAATTTTTTATTTAAAAATGTAAATTTACTACTTCCTTGAAAGGCCCGGTTTTTTTTTACTGATATTACATTCTTTCTGTTTCAGATAGGTTTATCAACATTTCACTTTAAAATTCAACAATATTCAAAACCTTTTTCCTTTCTCTCTTTGGTTAGGGAGGTTCAGGACCAGAATCATGAATGAGAACCAAACTCCTTACCTGGTACATGTTAGGTGTGGTAGCAGAGGAGAAGTTGAGGCTCTTGAACAGGTGCCGCTCAGGGTCATACTTGGCACAGTAACCCTTGATCACAACTGTCTTGGCTGTGCCCTGCTCGCCTGTGGTTGATAACAAAATCCTTGAGGTTGTCTAGCTTGTCACTTAAGCGAATCAAAGATGAACTGTTATTCTGCTGAAGTATTTGTTAAAGTGTTCAGGCATTACAGTATTTGGTTGCCTTGACCGTGCACTTGGTGGATTGATGTGTTTAAAAGCAGCAGAAGCTAGGAGCAAAGAAAAGCGTCGCAGGAATCGGCAAGAAGTTGAAGTGTGTTCATGGTGACCATAAAGATTTATTCACTAGTAAGCAGAAGGCTGTGGGGTTCGAGTCTCACCTGAGTAAGCTTGTGATTTTTTTCACAAACACTCAGACAAACACCCCGTGTACAGTGTTTTTGGATAAATGTTGGTGTAAGGGCAAAACCTGTTCTTAAAAAAACATGAATTTACCAATAAGCAAGACAGCCTTGTCCTGCTTAGCGATAGTGTGAATGAGGAAGTCAGTGCGGACATTGTCAGTGTTGGGTACAAGAATGGAGGCGTAATCTGGGGTGCTGTCCTTGGGGTAGAGGTACTCTGGAACCTGAAATGAATAGAGCAAGGAAAGGATGGATCATCAAAACTACTGTGGAATCACTATAACGAGAACTTGAAATGAAATGATTGAAAACCATCAAGTTTCAAATATGATGCACGGTTAAACATAATTTTTGTCTGATTTTAGTTCAATTGTGGAAATTGAACAACACAAAGCAAAGCAGGTAAAAGCAACCTTAAGCCACATGTGGAAATAAAAACTTAATTTCCACATAATATTGAAGTTCACTTTAGTAAAAACTATCACTTTAAGCAGCTTCTGTGGTTCTCAATTGATTATGTATTGAGATCATGAATATGCATGATGAAATTAGACTTTACCCTGTCACTCCAGTGTTCCCAGTTGCCTGCATCATTCACCACATACTCAAAGATGGTGTCTTGGCTGCTTGGGTCGATGCGGGGCAGGTTCAGTCCTCCTTTATCTTTCATCCAATCCTCCATCTTAAAGAAAGTTACAAAGTAGGAATACAACATGCTAAGCACAAACACTAGATGCACAAAATGCACTCATCTCATCAGATGGCCTATCACTAGATATCCGGGGTCCTGTATCTAAAACCTGCTCATCATTTTCTGCAGTGTGATAAACTGGCTATTCTTTTTGGTTTGACAATACAGTTAAAGAAAGTACTTTCCATTTTTTTTTCATTGTCCTGTTTATTATTCCGAGTTTGTCACTATCCATCCAGCGGTACTTTAAGAGCTGTGGCCAAAAGTACCACCTGAAATTTTTCAGGCAGTACCACTGATGGCTTGCTCAAGGCCAGGGTCAAGGACTGGAGAGAATTTCTGCGTTGAGTAATGGAAAACACCTCTTTACCACTTTCCGGTCATCTAGCTCCAGGAGAGCGCCGATGGACCACATCAAGGAGAAGACAAACAACCTCTCCAGATGCTCACGGGATGGGGTGCTGTCTTCGCTGGGTATGAGTCCAGTCAAGAGGTCTATGGCTTGACGGATGTACATGCACTCCAGAATCTCATGGATGGAAAAGAGATAAGGATGGTATCAAACAGCAAGCAAACAACCTGAAGCCCATCAATCACTGTATGCTTCCCAATTTAATTTTAACCTCATAAGACACAAATCCTGCAAGCTCAGATATCAGATATTTTTCTTTATGGTGTTGTGACATTTAGAAGTTTTCAATCGATGCCTTGAAGTCGCTTTGACACAATTTATATAACGGGACTTAGGACAGCTCTCACAAAATGGCCAATTTTTCCCAGATATTAGGTGGAATGATAAATTCTTCTATGACGTGCCCACAACACAGGCTGAAGAGGTGCGACCAGAATATACATGATTTGGGTGGAAACAATGTATAAATCCTCAAACTCATTACTTACTTGTGATTACATAACACCCTATACGACACATAAATTAGGTATGGCTGCAAACTTCAACAGTGAGAGATTCAACTACTAAGTAAGGTCAATCCTAATGTCAATTCAACATAACCTCATTCAACCAACCCCCTCCCCTTGCCAGGTGAAGCAACTGATTCAACCCTCAAACAAAAAGAGTAGATGCATTTTTTTTTTTGGCACTTACATCCATTTTGGGGGTCAGGTTTTGTATGGCATTGTTGTAGCATTCCTTGAAGTACTCGGCAAAGAGGTTGTACAATACGTCCTGCTGAGCTGCTGGTCTGGTCAACAGCCATCCCTGGAAACAAGGTGAACAATAAACATTCCTTTATAACAAATGCACCTGTGATGCATTGGTTCAATCCGTGTTACACATAAAATATTGATAAATTAGTCTTATTATTGTATGAGGAACAATCAGGCATTTGTTAAGCCGATTGTACAAGAAATAGATATTATAATATACACTTGGAGTGGCCTTGAGTTTGTTTAATAAAACGACCCAATGTGTACGCTCACTAATTTTGGGTATATGCTATTTTCTGACTACACCTCAAGGAGACTTTATGGAAAGGCCTCTTCATATTTTCTAAGATTTTTCTCAGGAACTTTGAAATGTCAAACATGCACACGACTTTTACAAAAGGATACACAAAGGAAATACTCAATATTTCCACTGAGATGCAATTTTTGCAAAGGAGCAATCAGTTGATTGTGTCAATGTTACGGCTGACAACACAAGATGGCAGACACTGTATTGGAATTTTTAACACGTAACAGCACAAATGAAATTGCCAACAGTCCATCTGCAAAAGGCAGGTACATGTATATTGATTTTGAAAATCATTAAATTGCCCGTCTTTACAATCCAGCCGAGAGCTAGACAAAATTTGAAGCTGAGTTGTCATGGAAATAATGCTATTAAGCGTGGACTATATGATGTTTGGCATGAAGACAGACGAGGGCAAATCAACAACTGGTGAGAAAGCAACCCTATCTGCTGTGGACATTAACCACACAACCCGTGAAAGCAATCAACTGCAATGTAAATTGGACGGAAGAAAAAAACACTCAAGAGGAAAGTCTGATAGTGACAAAAATGGAAAGTTGAGGACAGGAAATTGAAAGTAGGGGGAGGGGAGTTGGAAAAAAATTACTCAGTAGTGACGTCAGCATAGATGGCCAACCACTTCACCTGGCTGTGAGGCCGGTGATCATACTTTGTGCAGACAGTCAGGGGAAAATAAAAGAGGGAGTGAAAACAACAGAACTTGCAGTGAAAGCTGGTGACACACTGACAGGCTACTCCCACACCTGTGAGCCACTGAGATAATTAGACAGCACTGATTCATGTGAAATAAATCAGTTGAAGCTAGTGGACTATTTTGACACATATACAACAAAAACCATGAATACCACGGGCATTAGCACAATGGAAACAGCCTCAGAAATGCCCGAGCCAAGCCCCGTTGATCCGATTCAGATTTTCATTCACGTTTTGACAGTGCTCACTGTTGTTTTGATACTTATTTTCAACCCGACATGCCTCGTGGTGCTCTATCGTGCCAGCGGCATCCAAGAAACGACCAAAGTCTTCATGGCCGCACTCACCATCTCCGATATCTGCGTCGGACTGTTCTGGGTGCTCCCCGAGCTGACTGCTAACTTGGCTGGGGAATGGCTGCTGGGGGAATTTCTCTGCTCCGTTTGGGGTGTTGCGGCAGCATCTTTCTTCACGCTGAGTTTCTTATCTCTCGTGTTGTTGACGGTGGATCGTTTTCTTGCAATTGTCTACTCCCTGCGCTACCCCACACTGATGACTCCAACCAAGGCAAAGCTCACTGTTGCTACAACATGGACCCTGACTTTGGCCTTTTACATCATTCTGATGGGCATCTACGCACCGAATACCCTCTCCCAAGAAAGCCCTCGCAGCTGCTCTTACGGGGAGTGCGTTTTTTGTCTGTACCAGTCTGTCTTCATGATGGCAATCTCCATTGGGACCATCTCCATCCTTTATTTCTACATTCTGAATGTCGCACGGCAGCAGGCGCGCCGCATCGCTGCCCAGAATCAGATCAGCGTCCCTCAAGGTGAGCAGCAGAGAGTCAGCACCAAGTCTGCCACCACGGTGTTCATCATAACCCTGACTGTCTTTGCCTGCTGGACCCCGACTATCTGCCTGTTTGTTATCATCCCCCAAATGGAGCAAGACCCATCCACTTTCATCCTCATCGCCAACGTGGTGTTCCATTCCAACAGCTGGCTCAATATCGTCATTTACTACCTCAGAAATAAAGTACTCAGGCAAAGGCTGCATGAACTGGTAGGTGCCTGCTATCACCAGGTATTCGGATGAACATTCTTCTCAACGCAACCCTTACTTTTAGAACACCTCTAGTTATATTTTATTCAATATTAAAAACTTATTACAGGTTGCGTATCCGGCTAAAATCAAGCTTTGCAGCCTGGCAAGTTCACAAAACTTCTTTTATAAATTTAACTAATGTGCTACGCAGAGTGTGAAATATCACTATATACTGAGACACACAGCTTCATGCTTTTTAATTATGTAAATTATTTAATTTCTAGCTAAAAAGCCACAATATTAAATAAAATTTTAAGCACAAATTTGCAATGGATAAAAATAATTGTAACTGAATATGGGTACACAAATATTGAACAAATTTTGATTCATTGACACTGAAATAATTAGAAATTAATCTTTGTATTACATAAAAAGATGCCAACTGATCTATGAAGGACTTCTAAGAAAAGCTTGCTTAATTTCTCTGCAAAAATTCACTGACCTATAATCATTTTATTACTAACAAGCACTTTCAGATTGATTGGGATTAAGTCTTACATCATGGAAAACCAAAACTGTGATCGATCTTCCGCTATGAAATCAACGACACCCTACAAAAATTGCACGATCTGATTTCCTCAAGCCAGCAGAAGGGCGGTTGGATTGATTATGTTGGGCTTTGTATTTATGAGGCTGAAAACAAGGCTGATTAACTTGGGTACAGGCACTTGACGGGAAAAGCCAGACTTACTTGCGAGAGTCAGCAATTTCAATTTGAACTTTAAACATCAGCTTTTTTTTTTTTTTAGTATTATATATTCCCAGAGCACCTAAAGAGAGTTCTGAATTTAATAGGTTATGAAACAGTTGCACTTTTTAGCTGAAAATGGTAACATTATCTCACCATATAGCACCGGTTGTAAAACAGTTACAATGTATGACATGTACAAGTGCTTTTCTTCAGATGGAATAAGTACTTCACTAAAAAGTCAGTGTTTGTGGTGTTAAAATGACTTAATTTTAAAATTTGGCCTATAGAGTTTGCCTTAGACAAAAATCCCATTCACCGGCCTGGGCAGTCCCGACAGAAAGTGGTCAAGACAACACTTACCATCGTTCACTTTGTTGATAAATTTGAAATGCATCAAGGACTGAACTGTGAAAGGTTTTTTCTCGGAAACAATCTTTCTAAAAGGGCCAAAATCTGAATGAATGAATTTGCTCACCTTGAGGATAGGCTCCCAGTCCATGATGGAGCTGCTCATGTACACCATGCCGTTGCGGGAGACCGTGGCCGGAGAAGCGTTGTCGATGTTGTGGGGCTCAAAGATGATCTTGCAGGTGGGCGCCATGGGGATGCGATCACCATTGGCCAGAGTCAGGGTCTTGTTGTCGTCCAGGACGGAGTTGAGGTTCTCGATCCAGATGGCGTCCACAGGGCCGTCCAGGACAATCCAGATGTGCTCTCCCTGGGGAAGAGGGAAGGAGATGGCAGGAGGAAACAATAATAGTGGCGTCAACACATTAGAATGAGCAACAAATTTTCACAAACATTAACTTGCAATGAAATTCTCTGTTTCTGGTATTATCTGTAAAAGAATTCTGCAGTTGTAGCCATCCATCCGGCTGCCTCACCTTTTTGCCTTTGAGGGTCTTCCTCCAAAGTGTGGAGAAGATACCGTCTGTCCAGTCATTAGTAGCTACATCCAGCCGGCCAAACATCTGAGGGGCGGTGATGGCCTTAGGGTTCATACGAAGCTCACGGTGGGGGGCACCGCAGTCTGTCATGGCCTTCATCAAGCTGTGGATGCACTTGGTCTTGCCTGCCACAAATGGTCAGACAAATGTCATAAAATTAATAGTTTAAAAATGCCAAGTTAGTGGGAATCGAGACAGACAACTATGACCAAAAATCACAGAAAACGACTGGCCACTAGACAGAGCAATTTCATCTGCCGAGGTCTCACTGAGACGGAGGAAGCAGAGAATATGATCCAGCAAGATTATAAATGAAATGTCTTCCACACAAATTTGAAGCTCTGGGGGTTCTTCCTACTTACCAGCACCGCTGGGTCCCAGGGTCATCATTCCGTGGCGCACACGCTGCGTCTCGTACAGTTGGATCAGTTTCAGTATCCAAGGGGCATGATTAACCAGACCTGCTTCCGTCACCTAGAGGAAGGGAAGGGGGGAGAGTACAACAATATCAACAATTCTTCAGTCTGAAAGAATCCGAAGATTTTCCTTCCATAAAATGCAGGACCAGCCATACGTCCCTTTCAGTCCGATAGCTCTCAACTTAGAATAATGCACCTACAATAACACATACATCAACCTGTCAACTATTTAAACCCACTAAATGGTGACATTTCCTTGTACAGTCTCCAATAAACCAGCGATGACCATACCTAATTTCCAAACCCTCCCCCCATATAAAAAACTAATCAAGCTCCACAACCGCGAGGCCTACGGCATAGAATTGTTGCTTTAGTCATGATTGTACCTGTTTTTCGATGGCAGCCTCAATGTCTGGGTACCCAGCCTTGTCCAGCTGCATCCCTGGGAACAAGTCATCAATCAGAGATAGGAAGAGAGGCTCGTCTTCATCAACCTGAAAAGCACAATCCAACATTTATTACATTTTTAATCAAGAACTGAAAAAGTACCACAGGAAGAGGGAAGTTTTAGTTTTAAAAAACTTTGGAATACTTTCAAGTATCCATGTTATCTCTCCTTAAGTGGGGTTTTCATGTTTTAAAAACCGACAATTTATATAAATCTCTAAAGATTAACGTAATTTTCAAGACACATTAGCTCATCTCTTCTTACCAATTTGGACAGGTTCATGTCCCTGAGGACTCTCATGACAATTGTCGACTCGCTGTCTTGTGGGTTGAGACGCTTGAATGCTCCCAGAGTACGCAGCACAGACAGAATATTACGCAGACCGAAATCATAATGCACCTTTGGAGGACAAAAAGGAGGCAGGTGTAAAAATGTCATCTCCCAGCCAAGACAAATTTGAACAAGAAGGAAAATCTTTCTTTTAATTCGAAGGTGTGACAACTATGGGTCTTAATATTCTAACACGGCAGTTTCCTGTTCATAAAGCATTAAAGCAATAGTTTAACCCCTGGGTAACTGTTTTCTATTCAACCTGTTACTATTTCACTCTATCCTAACAAAGTTTCATATGGCCTGTCAATAGTTAAGGCAATGCCACTGTTAACTAGCTTCACAAATATGGTTTAAAAATAAAAAATTTCAAGTGGTATGATCACACCTGCTTGGTCAGCTGTTCCTCACACAGCTTATACAAGGTGTAGAATTTGCGGGCCAGAAGTACGTTGCCTTGGAAACCACAGCTGGCTAGCTTGACGCGGATGATGATCTGTCTGTCAGGTACCATCATAGCCACAGTACGAAACTGAATCTTTAGGTTCTCTGGCAGCTCCTGACGGCCGGCGTAGCCAGGATTCTGGATGAAAATTAATGATCATTGAACATTGAAAACGTGCTCTCTGGTTTTTGATAAACAATGCAGTGTGCGTACTAAAGATGACAAAAAGAAACCATGTCAACTTCAACGACCCAATTTTTTTTAGCACTCAAAGAGGCAGATTTGGAGAATGTCCCACTACAACTTGAGCTCACCATAGTTAAGAAGATGCCAAATTCTGGGTCCATGTCCACATTGTCTCCATCAGTAAAGATGAAGCTGGGTTTACGTTCCTTCTTGCAAGTCAAGACGATGGCAATCTGTTGGGCTGCTACCGAAAGGACGGGCAGCTCGATACGGTTGAACTCGTCAAAGCAACCCCAGCTGCCAGACTGAGCCAAACCTGGGTGGGAGGTGGGAATGAGACGACAGGGATAGTGTTTATTGGGAAGAAAGAAATGCCAGGAAGATGGCGCAAAAATAACTTCAAACTTGACAAAATAAAATCAGTAATTGTTTTCTTGTGAAACACAACATCATATAAACGTCGAGTTTATACTCACCGGTTCTTTTAAGAACCACACCTCGTCCCAAAGAGATTGATTCCATGGTGTACCCACAAACCCATTTCTCATGTTTCATCCACCATGCAAAGCTTCAAATCTTACTTGACTTGCTACCCTCACCATGAAAAGCTTCAAAGCTCAGATCCACTAACCTTTGTAGATACGTCCCAGTCCCCTGAAGTCCATCTGATCCGAGCAGTTGAAGACAACCACATACTTGCCCAGGGCTTTGCCCATGTCCTTGGTGGTCTCTGTCTTGCCTGTACCGGCTGGGCCAGCAGGGGCACCGCCCATGCTCATACCCAAGGCCTGGGCTAGAGTGATGTAACATCTGAGGCAAGAATTCAAAAACATGGCAATTAAATTCTATTTGACCTTCATGAAACAAGGATCAAATGTCCAAATAATCATCACAGCCCTAATGTACACTGTGTGCCATTTTAGTTGGTACCCTGCTCTGGCTTGATAACCATTTTCTCTACCCAGCAATTTTCTGCATACAGCAATTCCACAATTTACCCCCGATTCCTCCTCAGATCAACTTAAGAGCCCAAATTTCCCTCCTGAGCAACCTGTGGTTACACCTTTCTCCACCAGATGTAAAAACCATCAACCAACCTGTCAGTCAGGGGAGTGATGACCAGTCTCTCTGTACAGCCCACTGGTTCCATCTGGTAGATGAAGTCCACGTCTGTAATGGAGATCATGCACTGGTCGGTGTCCTCGTTGTAGTAGAAACGCGACTGCTTTAGCCATTCAAAGTCAGTGGTGGACTTAACGTGCATGCGCACCTGTTATGAATTCAGGGATGTACATTTAAAAGTTTTAAGAAAAAGCAAGACTGTTGATGTTGTTGGCTTGAAACCAAGAACACAGGAAAACAAACAGACACTTACTTCTCCCTTATTCAAGTTAATATTATCCACTTAGCAAACACCTGTCAGACACAGAATTAAGATTTGTCTCTGTAAAATCATGTAAACTCAGTACAGGAGACAAACTCCAACTGACCAAGTCATCAAAGATATCTCTCTGATGGACGTGGATGGTGATGAGTGTCTCAAACTTGGTCCTCTCATACTTGGTGAGCTCCTGAGTGGTGACGTCAATCAGAACATTCAACAAATCCAGGAAGTACTGATTGGTAGTTGCCATAATCTGCAGTGAAAAAAAAAGCAATATGGTTGGTCAATCTTTAAAACACTATTGAGAATGCATTTCTGTAATCATTCGGTTGTGTACTAAGTTAATATTGATCCGTTAAATTCTCTTCAGTCAATTTACAAAAAGTATGGGTCAAGCTGAAAAAATTCCAGGAATCTGCTTACCTTTTTGTCTGAGCGAGCGTTCTTCAGTGCCTCCTCGCTGTCCCTGGTCCACAGCATCTGAAGGCCCAGCAGGCCGACCTGGGCTGGGTAGGTGTTTTGAAACTCAATCATCTTGAAGTTCTCCTTGTCGCTGATGGCCACACTGGCCGTGCGGATGATGCTGTGGATGGACTTGAAGGTGGTCTTCATCAGCTCGCCCAGCCACAGCTCCACGTTGCCCTGGGCCATGACCGGCTTGATCAGGTCGATCTTCTCGCTCTCCCGGGAGCTGACCGCCAGGATCTGGTCGTAGACCTTGTCATGGAATTCTGCCGACTTGATGTTGTCAAACAGGCCCTCAAGGTGGTTCTGGGTAAAGAGTGAAGGAGAATGAAAAATTAAATCGAGAAGAAAATTCACGCGAAAAAGATCAAAATTTTTTTTTTTGAAAATAAATAGGTTATCAGTAAGTGTTTATTTTTTAAACTTTACAGCAGCGTCCACAACATCGTATGTCTGTGCTTATGTGTTTGTACTGTCCACACACCACACGTTTCTTTGTGTTGTGTGTAATAGAACAAAGTCTACATTACTCAAATATCAACCAGCTACTCACCTGGATGGTGTGAGAGTCAGAGGCCTGGCCGAGAATCTCCAGCAAGGCAGGGTCCGACACAAAGAAGAACCTGGGAAAGATGAGCCTCTTCTTCTCAAGGTAGCCAGTCAGGGACTTCTGGCAGATCTCCAGCTGCTCCAGGAGATGGGGGAGGAGCTGGCCCAGGGTGTCATCGCTGGTGCAGCACTGGACCACGTTGGAGTTCTCGTGGGATGTCTGCATGATCTTCACCCAGGACTTGTCAATGTTGGTGAAGCGTTTAGCTTCCTGTTGGCAAAGGGGGAAGATAACTGGTTACAATCAAAGACTGGAGGTTTGTCGGTAGAAGTGGTTAAGAGAATAGAAATAAACATCTTCATTTTAGTGTCTGACTGTAACTTGTTGACTTTTGTTCAAGGAGATAGGAAAACAGATAAGGAAGGGCAAAGTGCCCATCTTTTGGGTTTAAAATCAAAGTCGGTGAGTTTGAATAGTTCCCCAATAATTTCAACTTCTTTACCTGGGGTAGCTGCTTGGCAATGTCTCCGCCCACAAACACAGCCTCCAGGTAGATCCACAGGTTCTGCACCAACATCCAGTTCTCAATGATCTCCGTGGTGTTGGATAGCTTATGCACCCATTTCTGAATCTCGGGCTTGAAGGGGGCATTGTACCTGTTGGAAGTGGATTTGCCCATCAATCAATTAGCTATTTTAATGACAATTTGAGATACCATGCAGCTTTGAGAACAAATCTACAATGCACAAGACACTGCGGGTGTTGGATCTGGTGATCTATCATGCACAATGGGCTTAATAATCAACTCAACAGCAAGACGCGAAATGCTCCCAACACCAGGAGGTAAACTCTGAAAACTCATGAGCATGCTGAGCAGCAAACTCTACCAATCTGAAACTTAGTAGTAATCAAACCACTCACCGGTTACTCATGAGTGAGCCCAGGACCATCAAGCTGTCCTCCATCAGGGAGATGATTTCACCGGTGGAGTCTCCCTTCAACAGGAGTTCCCCGCGGGACTTGAATGGAGAGAACTGGAAATCCTGAACGCTCCAGTCATTGATGACTTGCTTCAGTTTGGCCTCGATGTCGCGCTCCTTGACAGCTGAGATGCAGATATCCTGGAAGACAGCAATTCAAAGAAGACCCAAAACAACTAATAAGATGGTGTCCTGTGATTCATTCATTTTATTTAGTTGATCTCACATATCAATTCCTCATTTTGAGACCAGCGATTTTGGAAAGGCAAAAGTGCGGTACTAGAAGGTTTAAGCCGTCAAACCCTTCAAAAAAGAACAAGCAATGCTAAAGAGCACATCAATATTCAGGGTTTTTTAGGGTACCTCAATATCCTCCTTGTTCTCCAGCAAGGGGGCCATCATGATGTTCCTCAGGAGGAAGGTGTCCGACTCCACGTCAAAGGTGTGCTTGGTGCAGGTGGCAATGCGGTCCCAGTGCCTGGTCATCATGGCCTTGCTGGCCATCATCTCCAACAGCGGGCAGCACTCGCTGAAGTCATCAATCTTCTTCTTGAGCTCCAGGAAGGCCTGCCACTCCTTCAGGGCCTTAGGGAGCTTGCGGCACCTGGAAAGGGGCAGAGACGGAGGTCAATGTTGGATCATTCGAGGGAAAGTACAGGCAGCAGGAGAAAAATAAAACAGCAGTACATTTGAGGAACATTTCAGGCAAGAAATACAAGAATTGCTTGACAAAAGACAGGCTAACCGCTGTAACATCAAGGGCAATTTCAAGCTGTAATATCATTTTCTTGTAAAATCTGATTCCCTATCTTGCTAGGCCAATAAATGTGCTTCCAAGTAGCTTCCAGGTACTGGCTTTTTAAAATCTGTGCCAAATGAGTTGGTATTTGGGCCAATCTGCAGAAATTGCTGACATATAAAAATAATTATTTATCACCTAACAGGGACGCTGCATAAGGCTTCCCGGATACATCGACACTCTTTACAACTGATAAAGATCCCTTTTCTGTGGACAGATCCAAAACTCTTACTTGTTTTGAAAGTCCAATAGTTCCTGGTTTATCTTCTCGATATCAACATCCACCCAGGGGATGTCGTAGTAGCCGTTGACGTTGTCAATGACGGCATTGTAGAGCTGGTAGAGCTTCTGCAGCAGGGCCAGCTCTCGCTTGATGCGCTGGATGTCCGGGTACTCGGTCACTGCCAGGCCAAAGAGCTCCTCCCCACCTGAGTAGGTGATGTACTTGCGCCAGATCTCGTCAAAGCGGGCCTGGAAGAGCTGCAGCCGGTCGCTAGCCTCGCTGGGTGCGATGCCCAGGACCATTGGACCCCTGGCAGATTAAAAGCTCAGCTTTTTCATTCTTGGAGGGAACCGTTTCATTTAAATGAAAGAGTGCACTACTGTGATCATTGGTTTCAGCAGACAGCAAGATTTTTTTCTGACTTCATAGAAACTCCCTTGATTGGCAAGGCTTTTGAAAAAAAGGCCAGACAATAAAATAATTGATATATAATGAACAAAAATTATTTCAGAAAATGTGAAAGTGTGTCCTCACTTGTCAGTGTAGTCGTCCACAAAGTTGGTGACCTCTGTCTGGTAGTCTTCTACTAAGCTCAGCAGGTTGGCCTTGAAGCCTGGCTGGATCTTCAGCAAAGTCATCTGCACCTGTTGCATCTGTTGACAGGTGAACAAATTAACGAGGTTGGTCAAATATACAGCTAGAACGTGTTTGACAGCAATGTTGTATTCAAGTCCATCACATGTCCATTCGCAAGTCCAGTCGTAAGTAACAGGGTGAACAATGACAAAAGAATGCTATTGTCACAGCTCAATTAAAAAGCTTCTAAATCGACTTAAGACTGATTAACTTGTGATGGACTTGTAATGGACTCGAATACAACACTGTTTAACAGTGAGTGGATAAAAGTCAACCATGCTGAGGTTTTTTGTGACTGCAAGATGCACTTTGGAAGCTGGGTGGCATTTTTCAGTTTTTAATTTTGGGGAGGAGAAGTAGGAAGACAACGAAGGGGAGAGCTTGAAACACAAACCTGGCCATTGAGATTCTTCCAGCTGTATGACAGACTGTCCACCTTCTCAGCATTCCCGTCCTGGAACAGCAGCTCATATCGGTTCAGCATGGCGAAAGACTCCTCGATGGGTCCGATGGTCATATCGATGCGGATCTCTGACTCCCGCACCTCCCCCAGGGCTGCCATGGCCCCCCGCACGTCATCCAGGTCGTTGATGGGACGGGCCAGGCGCTTCTGGAGGTTCTCGATGAAGTCGAAGATGTCAGTCATGTCGGCCGAGGCCTTGGCATTCAGGGCCTTACCAAAGGCCCACTTCCAGGCTTTGGTCTCAGCTATCAAGGCCTCCTTGAGTTTCTCCGTCAGGCAGATGACCGAGCCCACTCGGTAGCTAGCCGGACTCTCTTCGATGGTTACCTCAAGTCGCTAATCAATAAATAAGCGCACCCCAACTCTCTGGATTATGTTGCCCTCTTGTAAAATTTCAAATGAAGCTTGCAACTCATTTTTATTTTGGGGAGCATGTTTGTTATTAATCCTTCTCAATACATGTGCACACTGTTCTAATTCATTAGAAAGTTTCCATGCTTAAATTCTATCTTGTTCCAGCAGTCTGTGAGCTCTTGTTCCTGTTTTCTGTTAGTCCAAGGCATGTCACAAGCCTGGGAATGTAGAAGATCCTCCACATGTATTAACATTTTCAGCCTTGACACCTTTTTGGCGATTGCATCATCTGATTCATTTACTTTTATTTATTTATTGCGTATTCTATGCTTACATTTCTCATTTTGGTGAGGAAATAAATGTGTCAATTGAAGCTGTTTTAGTCTGAAAGCTTTGGACACCAGAATGCTTGCTAAAGAACGTCAGTAAATCAACAATAGCTTACCACAGCAGCTGTTTAATAAAGCTTTCTATTAAACACTACCCAGTGGGTAGACGCTTAATGGCACCAGTACTAAATTCGGCTGCATTATTTTGTTTGGTAGGAATGTGGCTCTGTTTAGACTAACAACTGACCATTAAATCTTATCTCACCTGGTAATACTTGATCTGAGCTTCGATCTCAGACAGCAGGGGCTTGCCTGCCATAAACTCAGTCACTTTGTCATCAGGTTCCTCATTCCACAACTCGCTGAACTCCTTGAAGCTGTCCAGGACCTAACAGATGGGATATAAATTAGACTCAAATACCTTCAACGGAATCGTGTGCGAGTTTAAAGTAGATGTGCTTTAAACGGGTGCTGAACTGTGTGTGGTAAATGTGCAGTGACTGGTGATTTGCGAGAACAAAGAGGAAATTATCAGTCTCAGATTTGATTGAGGTCTGAATCACCTCTTGGCACTCGGACTTGCTGTTGCCGATGATGTTGTTCAGCGTTATCACCACCTTCAGGACATCCTTGTGCTCACTGATAACCTTGTAGAGAGGTTTCTGAGCGACAGCCAACATACTGGGGACCTTGTCTGTATCCTTGTCATCTTTGGCCTCTTCCATCTCCTACAGAAAACGAGAAAAACTGTCAGTTTGGCCGGTAATTTGTTCAAAGCGGCCCTGTAAGTGTTGAGTTTACATGGGTGCTACATTGTAGGAACAAAAGAAAATACAATGCCGCTCTTCTGGAGGTATGGTAAGACAACTGTATATTGCTGTTCAGTAATGTGGAGTGCTAAGTATTATCTGGTCAGTGTCAGTGCTGAGAGGTCATTACAGCAAAAATATAATATTTGAAAGTACTCTTGGGGCCTTGCTCTGTGTATGAAAGAAATCTTGTATTGAAACAGACTACATTTGTTTTACTTTTATTTATTAAAGTAGCTTTCTGGGAGTCAAGAAATTTTCTTGCTCGATTTCACATTTAAAAATAGTATTTTTCAATAATGACCTTTTAATGCAATTTTTCACAAAGGAACTTTTAGCACTGACACGACGGTATGTTGTACTAAATGTGTCACACGAACCAGCAAACTATTTCTGGCCAATCTGACCTTTATCGCAGCCTTCTGGCTGATGACGGTGTGGGACCACAGTGGGATATCCTGGGCCATCCTCAGGATGACCTGCACAGCCTTGTTGACCGTCTGCTGGACATCGTCCAGGCTGGGCCGCAGGACGATAGAGGGGATGGCCAGCACAATGTCGGCGGTGAAGAGCGGGACTTTGGCATCTTCGTTCTCCTGGGCCCCGTGGGTGTACTTGTTGGTGGAGGTCTGGAGTCGACGCTTGATGGCATCCAGTGACAGACGGGTGCCTGAAGAGGATAGACACACAGGTAGATACAGATAACGGGCTAATTTATGACAGGTGGTCACGTGAGACATTGTCAGCCTGCAAGATATACTTAAACCTATAAAGCTCTGCATGTAATACTGTGTAGCTGAAATGAAAATGGGACTTTGACTTCCATCAACAGTAGCAAAAACTATACCAACATCCCAGAAACACACCGACAACGCAGGTTCTTCATCGTCTAAGTCTGACAACGCACTTACACACCTACAGTGCAATTTGGAAAAAGACATAATCACTGAATTGAAATTCTTCCAACTACCTGTTGCAAAATTAAGTGGAAACAGGGTTTTGGAGCTTACACTTGATGAGAGCATCGGTGTTCCTCTGGCTGAAGCTTCCCACCATGGTAGAGAAGCAACAAGGCAGGCACTCTAGACAGCGTTTGTGCTTGGAGTCCGGGGTCAGGCATGGGTAGTGGTCGTACAGATTGCGACGCTCACTTTCTTTCAGGTTGTTCTTGAGGATGTCCACCAGGTCCTGAACAGCCTTCTCCACAGCCTGACTTTGTCTGGTTCCCGAACAAAGCGAGTTAAAATTTCAACTTTCTTGGATTTATCAACAACACTGCCATGTATTGCAATACATAATTGCCTACGACAGAGGTTAAACTTGTTTTCTCTTTTTTGTTAGATTACGCTTCAATGCAGAATTTCAAAGATTCCAGAGAGAATGCATTAATGTTTACGGATCTTGTACTAAAGTGTACATCTGTATTACCTTGACAGCTGCTCACAAGCCTCCTTGCAGGTCTTCTCCGTGCTGGCCAAGAAGTCCTTGGTGGAGGTAGGCTCTGATTCGGGCAAGGCACAGAGGGCCGTGCAGGACATGTCCTTCAGGACCTGGTCAATACGGCAGTCCAGTAAATCCGAGATCTGCTTGGTCAAGTGCTCCAGGAAACCCAGCTCCTTGTAGGTACTGGAGATATCTGGAAGGTAAAGAGGGAGACAATGGTATGACGAATTGGTATTGACCAGCACTTGTTGATGGCTATGACAAATTGGCACAAGTATTGACCAGCACTTGTTGATGGCTATGACAAATTGGCACAAGTATTGACCAGCACTTGTTGATGGCTATGACAAATTGGCACAAGTATTGACCAGCACTTGTTGATGGCTATGACGAATTGGCACAAGTATTGACCAGCACTTGTTGATGGCTATGACGAATTGGCACAAGTATTGACCAGCACTTGTTGATGGCTAGTTAATTTTGATACATGAGGAAATAAATACTGAAGTTTTTTCCGAAGAGCTGAAAAACTTTACAGAAAATACCTATCAAATCAACTGATTGTAATGGGAAAAGTAACAAAAATATAAAATCTATGTAGTGTTATCAGAAACTGCAAAGTTAATTTAAACGTTTAACGGTTGGTTATGCTTGTCGCGGTATTCAGTAACGGAAATCTGTGAAAAAAAGAACTGAGTTTGACAGTTAACTATATCTATGGCAATTTGGTTGTCAATTTGAAAAAAACTGTAACTTCTCAAGGCAGCAGTTGCTTACATTGATCCAGGCTCAGAGAGGTCCAGTTGAGGCTGGTCAGGCCAGGCTTAAGGGCATCCTCTACGCGACGTCTGAAGGGAGACATCAGTGGCAGCACCAGGTTAGGGATGGTGGCCACGATACGGTCATACTCCTGCAGTAGCTCAACAAGCCTGTTCGGAGCAACAACATTCAAAGCTCTCAATGATTCTCTCTAAGTTACTGCAAAAAAGCCAGAACAATGGGTCATAAGGACAGTCAGACTGGAGTAGTGGGGCTTTCTGCAGATGACTTAGGTTCAAATCCTACCCGAAGGATCACATGGATTGAGTTTGTCACATGTCGGCTAATCCAGTTGATTTCCTCTGAACTATGCCCCTTTAACAAGAACAGTTATCTACTTTTGTAAACAGAGTTACATTTCAGCTTCAACAATGCGGCATCAAGAAGAATGGACCTGAAACTAAGGTCATGATTTGGGCAAGCAACTCTTACGCGATGTAGTTGGCCTTGATCTCAGATTCCTTGAGAATCAGCACTCCGGCAGCCTCGGGGATCTCTAGGTTCATCTTGCTGAGGTACTTGGCCTCAGTGATCAGCTCCAGGACCTGGGGATCAAAGTTCACAAAGAGCTCCTTGGTCTCTGGGTGCCGCACCAGCAGAGAAGAGTTCAGGCCAGAGCGGATGGTGTCTACGGCGCGGAACCAGCCTCGGTGGTACAGAAGCTGGAACAAAGTAAAATAAGGAGGATCGTTATTCATTGATGAGGTTTTATTTTTTTAAGTGATTCTTTCATGTCTGATTTGTTTCTTGCTGAGGCCATTGTGTAGGTTGGGTTTTCATTCCTGACAAATTTCATTGTTGAATGAAAGATTTTTTTACCTCGTACTCCAACAGCACTGCAGCCATCTTGTTGAAGTTTCGAATGATCTTTTTTGCTTCTTGAGTCTGCAGGTAGACATGAACGATACGGAAAAAAAATTGAACATGAAAACAAAACAAAAGGACAGAAACAATACAGGGTTTCATATCAGCCGAACACTATATGACTTATTAATTATTAAGTGTTTGGCAATGAAATCTGAAAGGTTTAAAACAAAACTAAGGGTTGACTTTGAATGCATCGGTGCACATTAAATCCAGACCTGACACAGCACTGCTGTCTTAGGAATGCAAGGTTTGCTTTCACACCCATCATTCCAACATATACCATCAGCATCAAGGACCCCTCACTTCTAAGCTCTTAGGAGCAAGCCATTCAGCACCCACCCTAAGAATCTCCGGTTTCTTCTTGAAGGCTCTCATGGGTGTGTCGATCTTCCGGTAGAGCTGCCGCGCCCAGCTGATCTTGCCGGCCACTGGCGGCATGTTGCGGATCACCGGCGGGTCATCCTTCCCCTTCTGGTAGAGCTTGCGGACGGTCTCCAGGTCGCGGCCGTAGTTGGTCAACACCTTCATGTACTTGTCCGTCAGGTTCAAGTGGGAGCTGGAGATCTTCTCAAACTTGGTGAGGAGGTCCAGGGCCTTGTCGGTCTGTTGGTTGAGATGGGTCAAATCATTGACAAACCAAAACCTCACAAAAGTATCTTTCACAGGTTCAATGTCAAATGTTGTAGTCGAGACATCACAAGACATTCATAAGACCCGTCACAAGTAACAGGGTGGACAATGACAAAGGAACGCTTTTGTTGCATTTGATTTGAATAGCTTGTGACTTAAATTCAGACTGGAGGTCTTGTGTTGGTCTTGCGATGGTCTGAAGAGGTCTTGATATGTGTAAATGTATACGTTAGAGCTTCAACTGAAAATTGAATTATGAAGTGAATGGAGGGTCAGTTAAGTGGTTTCAGTGTTTTTTAACTCCAGTGACTGTAGACTTACAGTTAGGGGTTTATCAAACCAGGAGTCCACGAAGCCTTGTAGTTGGGCATGTACGCTGTCCATCTGGGACCTGAACTCCAAGTAGTCAATGTCAAACTGCAGGGGAAAAAAAAAGGACCAGGCTGAAGATGACAATCTACAAAATATTACTGTGAAAAATATCAGAACAGTTTAACAGGTAAAAATGTAGTTCCTTTAGGGTGTCCTGAATGTAGCTGGTTTTTGCTGCTATGAGCCCCAAGCTGCACCAAGAGAGAGCACCATTTTCCTAGAAATGGAGGCTCCTTTGGTCAGAACTGTACTTGGCTGGTTCACAAAGGACTATTAAATTCACGCCTCACAGGTGTGTTGCTACCAGCAAAATGAACACTCCCAACCAACGTGGCTCTTTTCAACCAACGAGGGGGTGCTTATGCTCAAGGCGGATTAATGTCCCTTTTTTTACGTTTTCTTTCAGTACCCAACACAGGTCCATCCGATGTACACTCTGCTACTGAACTCACCTCCCCTTTACGGTGGTCGAGGACATCGTAGCTCTTCTTCTTGTAGGTGCTGGTGATGCCTTGGAAGCGGATGAAGATGGACTCGATGCCTTCAATCTTGACCTCTCCCAAAGAGCTCATGCTCTCCATGGTGTTAACCATGTCGGCGATGCGTTCAAGGCGCTTGCAGAAGGTGTCAAATTTGCCAAAGATGTAGTTCTCACTGTGAACACAGGAAAACAGCTTCCAGTTGAAAACATCAAAAATCTGTGGCCCACAAGTAACTACAGCCCCAAGCACTATTTCATGGCATGGTTGAGTTAATGCTTGCACATGTATAGAGTTATCAATTAGTTAAGCAAATATTTCCTCCGAGGTAAACGTGCCTTTTGCCATGCTTACTGTCTCCAGGTAATACACAGGAGCCCCTCTAAGCATAAAAACCATGTGCTTGGCACGACCACGATATTGGGCCCTGTTGTTCTTCACTAATACCCAATGTAGCCGTACTACATCATGAGAGAATGATACAAACAATGACTTCACATGCAGTGCAGCCTTGTGAGTTAAACAGTTCCCAGCTACACAGAGCTCCCCCAGACATACACAGAGGGGGAAGAGAGCAAGGGCAACTCACCTGAACTCAAACTGCCTCTCCTCCGGTGTCTCCTTCAGCTTCTCCTTGGTCTTGTGGAAGCACTTCTGATACTCCTCATTCAGATAGATGCAATCGTTCAGTCTCTTCAGCAGATCAGATCTGCGACCACCAAAGGCAAGAACACCTAAGTCAATCTTCAAGTTCACAACTCAAAATTCTGGAATTGTCATCAATTTACATCTTCTATGCACCTGTTACTCTCAGCTCTGAAGTCTATGTGCTGCCTAGTATCTTCTTCTATTTTTGCTCAAAATTAAGGAAACTGAATGAAATTTAATGTAACACCTTTAATAAAAGAATGGCTTTAAAATGGGTAGGTTGTACACCCCCCCAACAGAGATCTGAACAAGTCAACAGCCTGCAGATCAAATGGATATTTCATTACATGGCCGAATAGTTTAAAAAGGATTTGGAAGTCTACAGGATATCATGCAAGTATCAATGACAAGACTGACCTCAGCTGAACAGCATACACTCAGATGATGATCAGTAATGTACAATGCTTGATACTAGCCACTACAACCAGCATGCATGCACCTTAAAAACCACCTCACTGGCACTGTGGCTACATTACAATTATTCCTGCACAGCCTTGATGTGACGATCTCATACCATGTTTCAGTTATTAGGCTACGGCTAGCCAGAACACACCTGTATATTGGAAAATGAACTTAGCCACTAGCAAGCTACTCCTACAGACCTGTATCATGATGCTGCCATGTTTGTCTTATTCCCTGTAGCCCCTCTGGCGAAAGTAATACAACTTCATATATTGATAAAAGGGAACAGACTATTTTCCCTTCCAGCCTCAGTTTGGTTACATCGCTTTGAATGGCAGAAAAGCAAGACGGCTGCCCAATGAGAGAACTCTTTACTTGATGCTCTGCTGTCAGCCACAGCCAAGTGATTCAGACATACATGGCCTTACCTCTCCAGCTCCCATATCTTGCTGGCGTCACGGTTGATGTAAGCCTTGCAGGTGGTGATCATCTGATTGGTCACCTTGACAAAGAGCGAGGTCATCCTCTCGGAGGTGTTGTAGTAGCGGGAGATGCTGTGGATCATACGGATGGCGTTCATCAGACTGGGAATGTGCTCTACCATGACACACTGAAAGGAACCAAAATACAGAATTGTAACCTCTGAACTAGAAAGCATTCATTCCTGTTCAAAGATATACAACTTGCTGAAGATTTCATCATTTTTCTCTTTAAATTTAAAATCCATACCCATGATCTATAACAGCTGAGTGAGAACCCAACACGAGAAACCTATCAACGTCCTCTAAATCAATTTAGCCACAAATAAAAGCATTCACAAATGAAGCTGCCCAAATCACTAAGCATAAACAATAAGCAGGTGTTCCTCAATGACTGTATCAAACGCTGACAATACATTTCCAACTTGGCACAGCTACTTACTGGATCACACTTGACAAGAGGTCCAAAGAACTTGTCCAAGGTGTACAGATATTTAACGTTGTCCTTGGCTTCGTTGGCTGCATCTGTGATGCGTATGTCCTGAAGAGAGATAGAACAAAACAATGTGAGTTAGAGCTGGGAAAAGATCGACGCTGAGCTGTGTAATCAAATTACCAGTTCTGTGGCAATGTACCAATTACCAAAACCTGTCCAAAAGTTATGGCTACAGCTGCCAATAGCACACGAATAAATGGAAGCCAGTGACTCTTGGCTGTGGCTACTTCCCATACATTTGTGTGCTGGTTTTGGTTTCTATGACATGGTCATGACTCTTTCCCTCTAAAAACAAGATTCAAAGACAACCTTTTCCCCCTATTAAAGTTTCCAGGACTCTTTCAGGCCTTTCCAAGCCTTTTTCCAGGATTTTTCCTGGGAACAGCGTGAAAGGAGAAATACTCACCAGTTCCTTCCAATGCTTGAGCACCTTGGACTTGGCGGTGTGCAGCACCCCCACCACGGCCTTGCAGCGGGGACTCTTGATCTGCTCCAGGAGGCTGTTGAACTTGGCCATGCGCTTCTTCCAGTGGTCGAGCTCAGCCGCCGGCCCGATGTCGTCAGCCTCCTTACGCATCTGCTCGCTCTGGGCCAGGACCTGCTCGATCTGCTTGGCCCACTGAAGGATCAGTTCCTCTAGTTTCTCCACAGTATCAGGAACGGAAGCTTTGGACAACCAAAAAATTGATTGAATAATCAAATTCCAGAATCCATTCAAGTTGGCTTTGCATATTTTTTAAGGATACATACATTAATTGTGAAGGAGACTAAGCAAAAAGGTAAGCACATTCTGCACAAAATGGAGCAAATATAACTCTAAATGAAAACTTACTTTCTAAAATAATGAAATATTACTTTCTAAAATATTTGTCGTGAATTTTGGAAGCACTGCAACTAACATTGTTGAAAACTGTACACAACACACAGTGTGTGTAACACAAGTGATGATACCTTCTATGAAAGTTATATAAACATTCCTCCTTCAAATTTTGGGACTTAAGGTTTCTTCACATTCCTACTGTCCGCTATAAAATTCCTAAAAGATTTTCTTACCAGCCTGCTGGAAGTCGCTGGCCGTCTTAAGTGAATCCAGCATGGATTCCAGGTGCTCATGTTCACACAGCTGAACCTTGCCTTCCATGTTGCCCTTGGCGATGGACAAACTATTGATGAAGCGATCCAGCTGGTCCAGGAAGTCTGATATCTGCCCGTTGTCTTTGATTTCTCCCCAGCTCTGGGAAAAAGAGGATTCCTATTCTTACCCTGTCACAAAAATCTAACCTTTGGACTTGTGAGCCACTGGAAAATGTATCACCAGTGAGTATGGCAATTTAAAGCTGGCAAGAAAATCAACAACATGGTCCACGTTTCAGTTTCAATTTTTTAATTTCTACTCATTTTGAAAAAATTATGAACCGAGGTATCAAAATTGATGGGTCTGTATGTAAACTGAAAATTGGCTCTCGTTTATCTGTACCTATTCACTGTCCGTTAGTTTTGATCATTGAAATCGCCAGGAGACAGCAGAGTTTGAAAGAAGATAAGGACAAAGAAATCAATTTCATCAAAATCTGGATGCTTCTAAATTTAATTCCTTGGGTCCTTTCTTGTAGTCTATCAAAATGCAAGTTCAAAATGCCAGAATAACTGAAGTAAACAGCTCACGTCTTGAGTTTTCAGTGCTGGCACCATGACTTTTTTCAAGAGAGTCTGCAGTCCATCGAGGATCTTGCCGCCCGAGGCATCCATCATGCCAAAGTTGACCTCCTGGGCTACGTTCTGGACGGTCAAGGGCTTGGAGGTGGTGCGGATGAAGAAGTAGCACATGCCGTTCAGACCCTCGGAGGTGCCTGTGGTCAGGAAGAGGCGCTTCTGCAAGGGCTGATGAGTAGCAATGCTGGAGGTGTCTGTCAGCGAGAAATCATTTTATCTGTGAGTACACAGCAACGCTACTAAAAGACTTCTTCTGTCACTGAGTGAAGCGTACCTGTCCTGCGTGGAGGTTAGCTACATACCTGTTCTGGAATACAATGTATCTCTGGAGGCTGCTTCCTGGTAGTAGAACATCAGCTTACGAGGACCATTGTTGGAAAAGAAATCCTCAATCAGATCGAACTGATAAAAGTAGAGAAAACCAACACAGTTAAGAAATTTTTAAAAAGCACTTATATAATACAGGCTGACAACAAGAGGAAATTCTGAAGAAAAAGGAGCATCTGAAGATACTTGATGGACACTTGACAAAGATTTTCTAATCAATACAGGTTAAGGTTTCAGTACAAGGCCTCCTCATGCTCAAGTTATCAAGGAACAAATGCTTTGATTAATGATCTAGTATTTTTTAGCAGGTCACCTAACTACTCTGGGATTTCTTCTTACAGAGTATACCTTGTCATCACTGAGGAGATAATCCTCCACTTGGGTGATCTCGATGCCGATGGCTTCAGCGAGCTGCAAGAATAAATTCAGTGGGAGAAACACATGACAGTCACAGGTAATACGAGTAGCATATATCATATGCTATCCTTGACCAAGGGTGAGATTGAAACCTGCTTTGATTGCTGGTACAAAACACGACAATTACCTCCTAGAGTTATACAGCACACCAGACCTGGTCAGAAACAACACCAGCTGTTGGTAGCTCATGTTCAGTTTGCCAAAGAAAGGAAGTGCAAACAATGTTTCTTATGCAGATTTCAGGTTGGGCAATCCGGGTGATTCATAATAGCGTGCCTCCAAGAGTTTTCAATGCGTTGGCCAATGACAATGCGTGAAATTTGCCGACCATTTCCAAACGCGCATTGTGATTGGCCAATGCATTGAAAACTCTTGGAGGAGCACTACTGTGAAACGCCCATGTTAATTCATGGTCCGGTAGATCACTCTTAATTACCTTGCCAAAGAGAAACTGATGTCTGGAATCCATCTGTAGGTAAAAGACAAGAAGAGTGAATTATCAATACACGGTTACAAGAATTAAATAATTCCGAACTTTTTTACACGAGGTAATAAATCAGCAAATCGTTTTTTATAGGACTGCACATTTTCATAATGTAAGAGAAAATTTTCTCCATAAGTAGAATGTTTTCAATTTAGGCAGCAATACAAAATAAAAAGTCCAATATATTCTGCACGCAGCTTTTTTAAATTTAGTAGAGAAATTTCTTTCAGAGAGACCTACCGCAGTCCTCCTCTCATCACGGTTTGCCTTAGCCTGCTTGGCCATCTCCTTCATGGCTTCCGTCGACATGACCACATTCTTCTTGGCCACAGACTAGAGAGAAAGAAAGACAGTAAACCGGGTGAGCGTAGAAAAGGAATGGTCCAGACTGACTGCTGTGTATCCCCAGGTTTAGGATATTGGCATCTCATCTGAGCTCGTCTTTCATTTTTCTCTGTGTCTCTGACTGTGCCATGCATATGTTGCTGCTGACGTCTTGAAAGTAAATTTTATACAAGAGGCCAGAAATCTGACTTGTGACGTTCTTCTGGAAGGATTTGGAAGGTTAAAAACTACGTTGTTCTGTTTAAGATTTCCACAGCTAGTGTAACATTACACTTAAAACAATTATGAGACACAGTTCTGGGTAATGTTGACAAAACGTGATACTCTCTAGTAAATTGAGAACAACTGCCCAACTTCTGTTTGTTAACAAAGCATTGTTAGAGTCCATGCCAGCCAGCTTGGAAGATCAAACAGTTTGCGACAGACGAGAGCTGTTACTTTGCAGAGCAAGACAAAGCAGTTCTATTTATAACTCCTCTCTCTGGTTCTGCCTATTTGTTGCTGGAAACTCTTCACCTCCACCGAGAACTCACGTGTGCAAAGGTTATTTACCTCATCTACAGTCACTGCAATTCAAGGAAAGCATCTACTGCTGCACTACGGTGCTAAAAACTAACTAAAACTAAGGTCTACAAAAGTCTACAGCAATACGGCAAATGTACTCAACTGACGCTACAAAATGATGCTCATTCTACGGAACCTACATTGTACATGTAGTTTATAGATAAATTTGATTGACTAAGTGGGAGTTCAGTGTATGTGTACAATACTGTTACGCTCATTACTTTTCCTTGGCATAAAATTATCCAACGTTAAGATAATCCTGCCGTCAAATTATTTCACTTTTGTTATGGTTTCAATTTCAAGGTACTGCAATGTTGACCTCCATTGGTAAATGGCACTATCTGCTACGTCCCAAAATATTATGAATACGACACCTTGCTAGCGATCAGTGCACATATACCGAAGGCATTTCATTACTTCTAGCTGTAAATAAAAAGGAAGGGGGTTAATTTATGTATCATGGAATGGACTCTCCACCTCATGGAATGCATGACGTACAATGGGATGAATGTGCACGAATTGGCAAAACCACACCCAAGAAGTATATTGAGAGAAAACCCGCATGGAATTTGATAACATTGGTGTATGTTGAAGCCTTTTGAAAGTAGGATCCCGGAAAAGAAGCCTTTGCTTTACAACCTCCTGCAGCAATAGTTACTCCAATCGCAATGACTTTGCCACTCCCAATATTGTAGAGGTCACATCTTTGATGTTTACTTTAATTCTTTAAAATTTCAAAAGATGTTTCCAGTTGAACACTGATTAAAGAAATAAAATCTGTTTTTTCTCTCTTTATCTGCCAGTGACAATAATCAAAGTAGAATAAGGGGTTTGTGCTCTCTAGTCTTTTAATCTATTCTACTCAATGCTTGGAAAAAATCTACACCGTACATCGTATGGAATGGTGGACAGAGCACATGCTATATGCTGTTTGCTTGCATGCCTTTGAATGCGTATGATCACACTGCATGAAATGGCCAGACAAATGTGTTTTAATGGAACATACAACTCGACGGGATCGTGTTTGATCACTTGGAGCATCCAGCCCTGCTCGACCGATGGTCACCTGAAAGGAATAATGCATTCACCGAGCAAAACACAGTGGCAAGTTTAGTCACATTGGCCAAAGCAATTTCCGGTGACGATGCATGCGTTTTGCTAGCTTCTACTGCAATCAGTACTTCAAGACTGAGAATTTCTGTCATGATAGTCATGCATTTTCACGAGACCTTGATTATAAGACAAAATATTGAAATGTATGCGTTTTGGCTTGTGTTTCCTTGAGGTAAAAATGTGCCAACATTCTGAATTTGTGACACAGTGGACACAGTAGTACCACAATGTAAGCTGAAAATGTGAACCCTACATGTACCATCCAACAGAAAACCGTTTCACAAAACAAGTAATAACTCTACACCAGTTTTGTCAGCTTTTGTAACATATACCTACGGGACATTTTCATGCAAGACCCTTTTCTGCAACGCTTGCACATGCTGCTGTTTTCTGAGCATACTTAAACACACCGTTAAGACTCTTCTTCAACTGTACCATTCAACACTGAAAACTAGTCTATCAACAATTCTGTTAGTGGTGCAGACACCTGATCAAACAATATCAGTCATAACTAGCACTTACCGAAGGCCCTTTCTGTGAAAGCTAGTGCAAGAACAAGATTACGGTTGGTGTGGTTAAATGTGGGAAATCAAAACATACACTGCAACTCTTTCATCAGAAACAAGTTCTTATCATAAAATAAGGTACAACCAATTCAGCCGTGATGAAAGTTCGCAAAAAGATTTATTAACAGGACTTGTCCAACAAGGAGAAACGACTCAAAAACGTGTTGATAAAATGTGGTGGGGACCATGCGTGTGGTAGGTGCGACATTATTTTGAGCAAATGTGGAACTTTTTTTGGAGGGTTCGTAGACTTTTGATTTTTTTTTCTGCACGACTGACAAATGACGGTGGGTCTACTTAATAAGTCTACGTATGTATTACATAAAGGAAGAGTAGGTAGAAAAGAAAACCAAAAATAGAATTTTTTACATTAACTCACTTTGGAACAATTTCACTCAATTTGTACTGTTCCAAAAATGAGCATTGCTTACAATGAAGCCAAAAAAGCAAAATGGCTTGTTTCACACTTTCTGACAAATACATAGTGGATAGATAAACAGACCACGTGTGCATGTGATCACTGTTAACAATTCATGTAGTGAGTGCTCGCTAGTAAAAAAAATAACTATGATTTATGTCGTCTTACAGGAGGTGGTGGGCCACGTCTACGCTTCTCTGTAGCTCCCTCAACCGCTTTCTTCTTTGGCTCATCTTTCTTTTCTTCGGCTAAAAATGTGGAATTTGAATAGGACAAAGTTGAAAAACAACACACACAGGCCCTCATGCAATTTGCAAGCATCTGTCGAGGACAGAACGTGTCGTTACATTTGCAAAAGCTGAACGGCATCAATATATTTAGACACCATGCAGGTGCCAATCGGGGGGGGGATACGGGAAAAGCCTGCTCTAAAAAAATGAGGAAAAAAAAAATTGGAGAAACTAATAAAAATAACTGAAGTGCACCAATCTCTGGCCTGACCCTCCTACCCCCCAAAATCCCTGGATCCGCCCCTGCCAAGTAATGCATAATCTACAGGGAGTCAAGTTCACAAGTTTGGCAAGATTTTTCCATTTCATTTCGTTTATTATTTCTCAGGGTACAAAAACCAACACAAAATACAAAAACCGATACATATCAACATATAGGAAGAAGATTTGCTGACACCCCTGACAGATAGCTTAAAAGCGAACTCAATCACTGTCGAGAGGGTCTCCAAGATTTAAAATTTGCTTCACAATAACTCTCTATATTTTAAATGTGGGCTTTGGGCCTTTAAGAAATTAAGAAAGTGCCAGAGTGGGCATTTTGTCATAGGCCATGACACAGTGTCACACACTCCTAGAAAGAGTTTCATATAGGGAAACACTTGATACTGCACCAACACCCCTTTTCAGAGGTGACATTTGATGCCTCTGTGCACAAATCTAGTAGGCTAGGCCTATGAGACTTGTTTTGAACGACCTGTTTTCTAAGAAGGCTAAGCAAAGGCTTAGTTTTCGACCTGTTTTCTAAGAAGGCTAAGCAAAGGCTTAGTTTTCTTGACTAAGTTTCACTTTTTAGGACGTTTTCACTTTCTGATGGCAGTGTTAGGGCCTAGACCTGTAACATTTTAAGGGAAAAATTAGTGTTTTCCATATGGCCTCCCCTGTGGAACTCCGCCCCCCCCCGCCCAGCACCGCTGACTGCAACTTGCATGAGCCATTATCCCCCAGTATGATTCAACTTGCCCGGCGGTCGGCCCGCCCTGGCAGTCTCCCACCCTCACTCAGTCTAATCCCTCTGTAACACAGAAACTAGGTTGTGCATGCTTTGCATATTCTTCGCCAAAGTGAGTGTTGTTTTCGGTGTCGACCTTACGTTTTGATGTGGTAATCAACGGCGGCGCAACCTCCTGATCAGGCTTCGGCGAGTCCGGTTTGCTGGCTTCTTTCTCGCCTGGACCTCCATCTGCAACGGCATTTTCCGCCTTGTCTGCTTCGCCATTCTCCATTTGTCACAGACTAGGATCGTTCCAAGAAGATCCCAGCCACACAAACCTTAGAATTTGATACTTTCAGGAAGATAATTTACACAAGATATCTTTCCGGAATTTCGTGGAGCAAAGTTTACATTACCCGTGCAGTTTCACTGTTGTTTACCAATCAATTAAGTGATTGAGATTATTCCGCGGTATATAGGGCACTGAAAACTGATGAAGTTGCTACTTTAACTCAGCATTTTCTGAATGACGGACTTCTGAGAAACATAATTTAATTGAAATATTGAAATGATATGTAGACCTTAAATGCCGACGAAATGTCAAATTATTGGTGCGCAATGTGGCGGATGAACACAACATGGCGGACAGAATTTCTGGCGAGCTTGTCTGTCGCCATAGCAGCGGAACTCAGCGCACAATCTGTCGGTACGCGATTGAAGTTGCGGGTGTGACAGGTGTACTGCCCCCCCCCCCCGCGACGCGTTTAACTAAAATTAGCGAGAAATAAGTTCGTTGATATGCGATTAATTCAATTGCTTATTTTTTTCAATAAAACGGCGAAAAATGTAATTTTGATTTTTATGTCGGTTGTTCAATGACCCCCTGAGGGATGCCAGCAAAGTAGGTGGCGCAGAAGCAATATGTAGGAATTGTGCGGAGTTATTTTATTAAAAACTGAACGCATGACTGATTTTTAACAGGGGAAATAGAAAGAAAGAAAAACTTTTTTTCGAGTAACACCGGTTCTCTGATGCGTTTTCACTACAGATTATTTTAATTAATTGCATCCAGAACAGCGCCCTCGCGTGTTTCCCAAAAATCACAGAAGGAAAACAGTTGTCTGCCAGGAAAAATTGCATCGTGAGTTTCTCCACAGCTTATCGCAAACTGGACACCAATGAAGACAATTGAATCATATTGTGTCTTGTGAACTGCGATTTAACACACTATTCTGAATGAATATTTAGTATTCAGAATAAAATACGTTGAATGAATTCCATAAAAAAGCCATTCTGAGGTAAATACACGTACATCACAGTTCACAGGAACAGTGTACATTCTTAAGGAAAATGGATAACTTCGGTTCAATCTCTGAAGAAAGACACTCTAAATTCTCTTTAAAAAACTAATAAACTGAATTACAATGTAATATTTTGCTTTATGTTGGAACCAATCCTTCATTATTTCAATAAATCTGTCATGGCTCACATTGGCTTCATGGTGCTTCTGAGCATACAACTTTGCTTAAATCAATGTTTCTTTAACTTTAACTTTAGCTTTAACTTCTCAGACTTGTACAGGGCTCTCAACTTCCTTTGGGGTGGGGTGGGGGTCAGGTTTAGGCTTGGGGTGATTCTGCACAGGATTGGGCAATGTGCATGGCCAACATCAGGGGTTCAATATGAATAATTACATACTCCCTGTATGTCACTAACATAAAGCAAATAATCCACAAGATCATACATTGTATATGTTATACATTACTTTAAAAAGTTTTAGTCTGTGCCTAAATGTGATTGACTTGTTTTTACTTGACACAGCTTTTAATTCAATATGAATCTGAATCAGTTTGATTTTGTCACAAATGCACGGGTAACATTCCATACAAAAAACCTGTCTTAAATTGAATTATAAGCACAAAAAAATCAACCTTGACCCCAACAATTTCTTGCCGTATTGAACACAGATTGTATTATGCCTAATTTATCCATTTCTCACAGAAGCCTGAAGGTTGTGTCCGAAACTTGCAACTGTCGCTGGAAATAACATGTAAGCCAATGGAGGCTACTGCTTAGCAGCTGCGGTTATTTCCCATAGACATGTGTACTAATCACAGCCACAGCCTGTCGATTTGAATGAGGCTTCATTTTTCTATCTGTGCCTATCTACCAGGTGGTGCTGCTCTGGTGAGGTATCACGGGAAGACTACCTGTAGCCAAGGGAGAGCCACGCCTATCATCACATCTTGCTATGCTCCCTCTGTAACCGCTGGTTGTATGTCCTTGAGACGGTGTTCCAGGCGTCCATGTATCTGTCCATGCAAAACGCTAGGCATTTCTGCACAGAAAAAAGGCACTGATAGCCATTACAAATTTCCTTTTGACTCCGCTGATGGAAACTTTCATTGAATCTTCACCAGTTTCCTGACTTTTAGCCAGATTGTGCAGTGCACGGACTAAGCCTTTTGCGAGTTAAATTTGCATATGCAGCAAGGTATG